GTTACATCCATTGCGAGGGATCAGGTGATAGGGCTCAAGTTATAATAAATTTGATGTTCTACTACTCTACTACACCTGGTAAAGGCAAGCATAACTTGCTTATGTGGTGTGGTATAGTGGAATGATGTTGTATTCATATAGAACTCTAGTTCTGCTAACTTTTGATCTCAAATTACTATTTATTCAACAAGATGATTAGTTTTGAATGTGAAATAAACTAAACTAACAAAAAAAAAGTAAAACCAACTCGAGGAGATCACTAGAGGGAATATGTGATTAGGGTCGAATCCCACTAGCAATAAGTTGAGATGAGTTGAATGCAAGTCAATGAAGGCTTTCATATTTTCTATATTGTCACGAATAACCTAATCTAGAAATCAAGACAATGGTCATGCACTCAATTTCACTTCTAGGGGAATTAGTTGGCTCAATGGTCATGCAACCTACTAATCACCCAGAGCTTTAGGGCTAGAACTTCACTCTATTGATAAGTGTTATAGTTTTTTACCTAATTAAATGACACCTCTCTTAGGTCTAGAAATCCTAAATCCAAATATTCAACTCAAGCATAAGGAATCAAGATAAATCGTCCATAAAACATGAAATAAGTTCACAATGATGCTTTACGTACAAATTTGCTCAAAAAAATCCTCCAAGTCGTCACACACCTCACTCAACTTGCTAGGACATAAAATTAGGAAAGAAGGTACAACCTAGCATAGAATATGACGAGAATAAGCAAGTTGCGAGTCAACTGGTCAAAGACCAATAAAACCGGGTCAAGTGATAGGATATCAACATCTAATCACACATAGCACGGAATGAACAAAAAATTATCAATGGACGATGATTATGACTTTCAAATACCTATGAAATGAGGTCTGAAATATGCATAAAATGTGTGTCAAGGTTAACAAGGACGGACTTCCAACTTGCACAACATACCTCGAGTTAATACTTAATAATAATTATGGACATCCGTCTTTAGGATGAACCTTAAAATGGATTTGAATGAAATTGTTTAAACTAACTTTAAAAATTGACTAAAAAAAATCATCAGTAGACTTGTTTGTTTTCTACCAAAACAAAGGTAGACTTGTTTGTTTGATGAACCACTTGATAGACAAAAGGTAGAAGAGTGTGCAAGAAAAGCTGGGAAGGAGAGGTATAAGTATATTCCCTCTCTTGGCCCAATGAATTCAACCAGTTCCAATCAATGGCCCTTCTTTCTGCTGCCAAATTCCTTTACTTTTCCTTCATTCCATAAGACCCTTTTAATTATTATTATACATTATAGTTAATCAATTAATTAATGATATCATTAGTTTAAACTTTTGCCCAAGATAAAGCAGTAAGCTTCCAAATTATGGCAGGCAGCAGCAGGAGCCAATACACTTTACACTACCAGTAGCTTGCTGCTACTATTGATGTCCAGTTTCCCAACAACAGATTTTACAAATCTTTTGCCTCTTTCTTTCCCCTCCCCTGGCCTGGAAGGCTGATTAGTGCAAGAAAAAAACTATTTGTTTTATGTTAATGGTGCATCAGCTTTTGAGGTTGATGGGAATGCTTTTAAGATAGCAGAAATGGAGTGTTTAAAAAAACTACTGCTGTCTCTCTTTGTGTCACTTTTTGTATGTGTTTATTATTATGCTTTGTTCCAGTTGACTCTCACACCGGGCTTGAGTTGCTGCTTACTAGTTTAAAGGCAAAGAAAATGATTACCCGAGAATCAGTTTGTTGCAATAATTCGAATAAGAACATGCCCAAAATGAACTCAGAGGTTTGAGAGTGAAATTGATTTGTTTCTTTCATGCATTTGCTTCGGAATATCATTAGACTCGCTATATTTTTGAAATTTGTACATTTTGTGGCATCTAATGTACAAATGAAGTGTTTGGTATTTTTGATATTTTTTTTGGGATTGATGATGCAGATCTTAAGGTCATAATTTTTTTTATAACATATACCAATGATGGGCTTATCCCATTCAGATCAAGTTACCGGATGAGGCCTGCACTAATATATGTACCGATGCAACCGAATCAATTGATATTCAAAGTCAATTTTACGTTATGGTATACCTTTCATTTTCAGTCTTATCGTACGAGTCATTGTTACTTGCAAATAATTTAAAAATAATAATAAGTCTGCAGGGGATAACAAATGATTTGTAAACTCTACCCAGAACTATGAGGTTCACACTATTTTATAAAAATTTAGAAACATTTTGTCCGCCATTGACAGGCAACCATAGTATACCGTATGTAAAAAAAAAAAACTCAAGGCGTGATATATCTTTAAACAGTAGATACTATACTAAAGTCGATTATTATCACGAGAATATCATTTATAATATGTAGCATACAAGCTATACTCTTTCGAATACCTGTTTAATCTAGTTTGGGCCAACATTAAAATCACCTTCCAGTCCATCTATTAACCTCACCATCACCAACAGACCCATTATGTATACGCATATATTCAAGCACTTATGCACATCATTATTAAGTGAATTACGTTAATCATCCTTATTCCTTAAACTACAAGGAAAACTCAAAAGAAGAATTGTGTATAATAATAATAATAATAACAATAATAATAATAATAATAAATGAATCGAATGAGAGGTGGGCTGAAGTTGACTCAACCAGACCAGGAGAGGGCAAGTTGGCGAGGACGGGGAAATGGACCCGGGTCGGTCGAATCGAACCCACTTTCCCGCCGAGTCCACGTTGGCATTGGAGTGAAAGGAAATAACAGATGTGACGTGTTAGACGACCTTCTACTCACAAAGGAGCCGTCCGCCACGTGGTGGTGTCCTTTTGGCTCTCACAGTACTGGGCCCCAGCCCCACAATCTGACTCAGCAAAATAAAATAAATAATTGTTGAAATTTAATACAGACAAACGGGGAGTTCTTTCTCCTCTCCATCTACGAAGAAGGGGGCAGATAGAGATGTGTGCGCGTACATATGGGCTACGGCCTTTTGGGCCCCCAAACGTGAAAAGCTTTTTTGGAGGTGGGCCATGGCCCACTTCGAGGTGGAGAAAGAAGAGGTAATATAATACTTGCAAGTTGCCGCACTCCAATCGTACCGTATCAATTTGTTTAATACGCGTCGAATCTGTGTGTACCGGATACGATGTTAGTACGGGGTTGGTTACTTACTTGTGATTTGCCATTAACTTTTGTATTTCCACCCAAAAAAAAGTTTATATTCTAAAAAAGTTTTATATTTTTCAGGAAAAGAAGTTTCATATCTCTCAAACGAGTTTAGCAAATGAGTATAACGATCCCTATTGTTCTGATGGAAAGAAGAATTTATGATCTAATTATGTTCGCAAAAAAAAAAAAAAAAGATGTAATATTTAGTACTCGTGTATGACGGGGGGTCAATCAGCCATTCATGTACATACGGTGAAGTTTTCTTCCTAATTGCGAGATATTATAGCCAATTTTTCGGGACACGATTTTAACTGGTGGAGGAGATAGGGTTGTGTTTATCAACGCTTTTGATGAGCATTGACAAATAATCGTAAACCAACAGATTCCGCAAATTCATATATAGAATCTCTATATTTATGAGAGATTTTATAGATCCAAAACCTCTACATCTAAAATCTACAATGTTCAAAGCAGAAAAAAATGATTTTTTTTACTAAATCTACTGATTCATGGAATTTATACTCTAAATTCGATTCTTCAGATGACACCTTAATGCACTTACATAAAAAGTGAATTGTTGTGCGGGAAAAGTAGACACACCGTACATAAGATAAGAGTGCTTGTTGTATATATGTTTCTATGTACCACTTACTACAATTTTTTTTCTTTCTAATAAGCAAGTTGGTGGATTGAAATGAACAAACAGAAAAAGGTAGGGAAGTATTAGATTAGTAGGGTTTGGAATAGTGATTAAGAATGGAATTAAAGAGAGGTCGCTTTCAGTATTTTCATTCCTAATGGTGGGGATTTTGAGGTGGTTCACTTCACTCATACAAATTATAAATATCCTGTTGGTGGGTGGGAGCATGCATGCATGTTCTCGTTTATGCATGACCCGAATTCTTCCCATTTTTGCAACGAATTAAGGTTATAATAATATTAAATACTTCAATGATGATCGTAGAAGAAGAATAAGGAAGAAAAGGGGAAAATCAGTGGATGAATAATTGCACGTTCCCAATGAATGAAATGAATCAGCACTATCATGTTTGTTTGTGTAATAACTCGATCGTCACTGGAATGAGTTGGAGGGTCGAGAGAGAGAGAGAGATGTATATATATATATATAATTGAATTGAAGCTTATAATTGTTCGATTTGTATACTTCCTTTTTTGATAGTGCAAGTTGGGAGAATGGTGTAATTAGGCTCATCACTGTCACTATTGAGGTGTACACATATTAGCTTTTTTTTTTTTTTATGCCAAGTGCCCTTCTTTATTTTTTTTTTTGTCTGATCGGGGTAAATTATTCTTATTGTTATGATCGTTTGATCTGTAATGAAAAGCATGGTAGGAGTTGAATTAAGGATTATGTTTCACCGGCCGATGATCAATGTTTTTATCGTTCGAGATCATCGTCCACTCATAAAATGTATCCTCGTTTCCTGTGACAATAGTCCTGCACATTGTGAGTAAAGTTTGTTAATTCTTCTGCGAATTATTGTGGTGAATCAAAAGGTACATAAGATTGTTTTATTAGTCATATTTATAAATAAAAAAAATCATAGTGATATAGTTATATACTTGTACCAATCATATGACGTTGGTCATTGTTATCGTTTGTGAATCTTCATCTTAAAATTCTTAAGTACAGTTCAAGAGAGAATTTTTCCTGATATTCCGTATTCTATTTTCTATCTCATGAAGTTTAATTTATGCTTAAAGCGTTCATCATATATACCAACTTTTTAATTAATAACTTTTTTTTTCTCTCATACATATTGACCCTTAAACGATCCTAAATCTATATATTTCTTTATTGGCTACCCATCCATGACATTATATATACCCAAAACCAACCATATTCCTTTTTCTTCTACGTCTATTCGCATGGGAATTAACTATTTGAAGTGGAACAGTACTGAACTACTTAGCAAAGGTGACAACTGTTAATAGTAGGATCGTTGAGGGAGACGTGAAGTGATCAGAGTGGTGGAAGCTAGCTAGCTAGGCCAGATATATAAATTAGAGTACGATTCACTGTGGGAAGTTTTGGATCCAGATCAGATCAGATCATCAGAAGAAGAAGAAGAAGAAAAGGAACAAAATTAGGGCAAGGGGGGAAGATGGGTAGCAGTACGAATTGCCAGGCTTGCTTGCTTGCTGGCTGCTGCCCCCAAGTGGCCGGTTCCACTCAATTTGGCTGTCCTATTTTCCTATATCAACTTGATTCAACTTTTTTTTTTTTGAAAATGGATCGATTCATTCATTGAAAGCACGAAGAGGTTGTGAAACAGCAAGGTTCCAGATTACAACAGATCGGAAATAACATTAAGCACTGAAAGCCATTTCGGGTGATGGGTATTCATTCGACAATTCCGGGCCACCCAATCTGCATGCGTTCCTATTGTTACGACGACTGGTGAAGAGAACATTGATCCGATCTGAACTGCTCTAGGATAGCCTTGATAGAGGAAAGAATAGCGTAACATCTCCAGGGCCATTTCGTCGGATCTTCCTTAAGTGCATCAACCAGTACCTTGATGTCCGCAGAGAACCGTTGTCGGATTGTTGTCTTTCTGCTGCCAAAAGACATGCATCATAAATAGCACAAGCCTCGGCCTCAATTGGGGAAGAACAAATCACCTTCCTCGCCCTTCCATCACAAATAATATGTCCGCTAGAGTTAGTGAATAACTACTCCGATTGCCGCCTCTTGTGAATCATAGTCAAAAGACCCATCACAAAGTATTCTCCGATGATGGAGCATCGACGGTGGACACGATTGTGGAGGAACGACCCTGGGGGTGAGAAGAGGATCAACTCACTCCCAATAATATACGTACCACTCAAGTTGGGGAATCATCTCCAACCAATATTTAAGCCAAGTAGAATGGATCAAGAATTAAGAACAATATATAGTTTGGTATTCAATTTGTATATCATGCTTAACGCCTTTTCGGTCGTTGTGGATGGAAATAAGATCTAATATAGTGATCGAATACAAGCACTCAAATAAAAATACGTGTTAGGATTCAACGTGTGAAAATTGTTTAGAATTTAACCTTAACTAAGCTTATGAATATGGACGAAATCACGCCGTGCAAGTTCATATATAATTTGAAGTTGTGGGTTTCGATTTCAACCAGATAATGCTTAGGATTGCCAAAACCATATGAATAATTAATTAGAGAATGGGTTAATTGGGGGGATGAATGATATGGTAGCTAGATCAAGTCGGTGAACAGAGAAACAAAGCTGAACATGCAGGAGATTAGTGAAATGGATTGGGTTTGGTTCTGGGACTTAATTCGCACGTGAATTTCTAGGGGTTTTAGTCGACATTATAATCCTATTTGGTCTCGACCAAAAATCCAAGTGGGAGGGTTGAACCTAAAACAAAAACCAAATCAGGGATGGGAGTGAAGCTGAAATCCATCCACATCGATCCCATAAAATTTGGTTTCTTTGGTATACTTCTATCTTTCAAAACCAGTCAACAATGGAGCATATATTTACAAATTACAGTACTGATAATTCTATCACTTGAATTCGAGTCGATTAGATAGTTGCAGTCCGAATTAGACAAATTATTCGTGATTATACATAAAATTTGAACCGAAATAAAAGACATGATTTGACACTATTCAATTTGAATCAACGAGATTTAACTTCCAAATGTTTATTTATTTATTTATTTTTACAAATAATATATAATATATCCTCATGAATTGTGTAGCGACAACAAACTGTTGATTGTGTGTTAACTGTTAACACACGAGTTGAGATGATGAAGGAAATATTACTATCTTCGGATAGCAATCATATGATGAGACTAACTGATGTTTCATATCGTAGACATAACTTTCAAGATATAATCTTAAACGTCTTTCAAGAACTCGAGATGTTGAGAGTTGAGACTAACCGATGTTTCATATCATCATATGATATCGTAGTCTTGGAGGAAGGTCGTGTCTTTCAATTCTAGTAATCTTATGCTCGGTTGAAGCACAACGATATGATAGATTTGTGCAGATTCTAAATTATAGGTGGAGCGTGCAATTGAATGATATAAGACCTAGTCTTAATTGTCTCCTACCGACTGGAATTATTGGATTCGACTAATCAGAAATTATAGACATAAAACTTTAGCATTGTAGTTAGTACACTACACATCCCACATCCAATCAAAATAGTAAGAAAGTGACTTCACTGACTAAGTTTAACACAGCCTCATTTGCATCCTTTTCTTCTACCTAATAATGTAACAACTATCTTCACCCTTCGTTAGTGACATTTACAATTGATTAATTATGCAGACGACAGCTCCTTAACAAAATTCTGCTGGCTGGCTGGCTTGAAAGGAGGAATTAAGCTTGTTAATGTTATATGTGTGCAAATTCAGTGAACCTTTTTTCAGGTTTTGGGGGCAACAAATTCAGTGTATCATTTGTTAAATATATATATTCTTGATCGTTTTCTTGGAGGGAATATTACATTGGTAATGATTGGATTGGACGGTGGAGAGGCCTTCTCAGAAAAATAAATAAAAATAAAAACTAAAACTAAAAAAAAACAAAAAAAAAACATCATATCCATTCTCTAGTCCACATATGTTGCAGTCCTGCCCCACTAGTCATGTCGGCTGGGCTTTTTATCGAATCTGAAACCCAATTGTGAACTTTTAAGGGCCTCTTTAGCTGGATACATTTTAATCGGTGGGCGAAGCCCGCACTCTGCTCACAAGGTCCAATAGCCCAATACCCAAGAATGCCAAAAAGGAACGGAATAAAATTAAAATGCTCTCGTTGAGAGTCGAACTCAAGACCTCCCGCTTACTAAACGGGTGCTCTAACCAACTGAGCTACGAGAGCTTCTTGAAAATCCATTCAACTGTAATGAATTTGTAAAGCATCATAGGATGTGACTTGTGGTCACATGTTGTGCGTTTCAAGCTCCAACTTCCAATCAGTCACGTCAACGTGTGACCCTACGAAGTCCTCAAATGAATTTGCACCGCACATTGTAAGCCAAACGGAAGAAGTTTCGTTCTGGTCCCTAAACTTATAGAGTTACCCACTAAAGTGTAATATAAATTGCAAATAAGGTTCTTTTATGTTGATAAGCTCAAACCGCAGACGTACGAAACATTATATACTTCATATTAATTATGGAGAGGTTATTCGTCATTATTTATAATACACGCACAATCAACTTTTTTTCGATCGGGCATTTAGTCTCTTCAACTTGTGAATGTAAATTTTGAGGTTGGGAATTAAGATGATTATAAAACTTGCACTTGATTTATCTTGTACCTTCGTTACTCAAAATAGATTTATGTACACGATGCCTTTTTCTATGATAATTTATGTACGTGATGTCTTGATCGGAACCTCGTACTATATGTTTTGATAAATATGACAAGAGTATTAGATTGTTTGTTGAGTTTAGTTTTGTACACAAATAGTGAATATAAAAAGTTGTAGATGAGTTAAATTTCTGTGCATCAATCTGTAATAAAGTAAAAGATTGAGCACCACTGCCACGATAAGTACAGTCGGCACAACGAGGCCCTTTTCTGCAAAAACACTTCTTTTGGGAAAAGGAAAAGGGAAAGTTATCCCTTTGGCTGAAATAGAAGGAGAGAGCCAAAGCCAACCAAAGCAGAACTGTGAAAGGGTGAGCCAGTGGGAAAGCCGAGCTGCGGAGTTGGTGGAGAAGAAAGAACGAAACTTCTCTCTTTCTTTCTCTCTCTCTCCTCCTCCTCCTCTTCCCGGTTCCTTCCTCACTCTCTTCCCTCTTTCTCGCTCTAGGGTTTTGGTTCTCCCCTAATTCTCGATCATATTCCGACGAACCCACCTGCCAAATTCACCGCGATTTCGCTTCTTTCCTCTGTCCGCTGATCGAACGGGGAATTCGCTGCCATCTGGGTCTCCGATCGAGGCAAGGGACGGCAATCGGACGAGAAAGCCCAAGTTTCTAACTGGTTTCCCGAATGGCTTCCGACACATGGGGCTCCCGATTCTCCACTACTCGCCGCTACCAATCTCGACCCGGTCAGTTGAAGAATATCTGCCTCTTTTTTGGTTAATTTTGTTTTTCCCTCCCGTACCGCGAAATGGGTTCGTGGCTGATTTTCGAGTTGGATTCTGTGACTGTAGATCCATTTGAGGAAGGGGAGGTGGAAGATGATTCCAAAGCTGAGTTCTTGTGCCCGTTTTGCGCCGAGGATTTCGATATCCTGGGGCTCTGTTGTCATATGGACGAGGAGCATCCCGTCGAGACCAAAAATGGGGTATCTTCTATCCGTAACTTCGCATCATTTCTCCCTTCTCTCTTGTCTTTGCTATCACTCGTTCATTGTGGACTAGTTTTTTTTAATGCACTCCACATGCCTTTAGGATTGCGACTTCTTTTCATTTCTTCAGTCGATACATTTTGGCTTGTTTGGTTCCTTAGTTCCTTCTTTAGCTACAGTCAAATGCTAGGAAACAGTGTTCTAATGGCCCCTCTTAGGGTCGTTTATTTCATTTCTATCTGAATGGATAAGTGTTCGCTTAGTTCCTTCTGAGTTAATTGCTTCAGTATTTTAAGAGATTATCATATAATGCTTAATGCATGTGCGCGATCCTTTCTGTTTCATGTTACACTTCTGCTGGTTTTGCCAACAAACCCCTCGTACTGATTAGTTGCTGTTGTTGTTCCAATTGTTCTCCTTCAGGTGTGCCCTGTCTGTGCTAAAAGAGTGGGAATGGATATAGTTGGCCACATCACTACACAACATCAGAACTTCTTTAAGATATCCTTTGCTTCTTCAAAGTGGTTATCCTTGTGTTGTTAAAGTGGTTCAGCTGTTGATATACATAGGCTAAACATACTGCATTATATCACCGAAATTTAGTGCATCTCATTCTCTTAGCTGATCTTATGATTTTACGCTAAGATAGGAGACGGTAAAATTCATAATGATACTGTTACAGCATATGAATTTGCCTATACTCCATTTTCACTCTTGCTTCTCCTAGTACATGGGATTCCTTGACTTTGACATCACGTCCAGCGCAAAAGAAGGTTGCGCAAAGGTGGATCCAACACGCCGTTTGCGATATTGAGGAAAGAACTCCGCGATGGAAGCTTACAGTCGCTCCTTGGTGGATCTTCATACTTCGCCTCGACTACAGAGCCTGATCCGCTGCTCTCTTCCTTCATGTTTAGTCCTGCTGGACTCAGTGAACCGAAATCCATTCTCCCTGCTGCTGCTTCAGATGTCGCAACAAGTCCAGCAATTGTAAAACCGATCGAGGAGTCACTAGAAAGGTATAACACCTTGGCTCTTTGTTCTGTTCAGTTTCCTCTTCTTTCGATGCTCCATTTTGTTCCAATTGGTTGGCACCTTTTGACCGCCTCTGGTTGGCCTAGTGACCGACTTCTACATCAAGTGCACTCCCATCTTCCAACTAGTACCCTTCAAAACCAAATTTTAGACTGATGTGAACCCCATATCTACCCATTTATACTATGAAGCCTCCAGATACTTGTGTGCTTCTCTCATGGTGATTTCCTTTGGACCTTGACAGGGTTGTAGAGCCATCATCGAATGCGGTATCAGACAAGGACCACGAGGAGAGGTCTCGTCGATGCGAGTTTGTTCGAGGATTGGTGCTGTCCACCATCCTAGATGAGTTATGAGTTAGCTGGAATAATGGAGAGATGTGCTCTTCTCTGTGAAGTCTGTAGTATATATATAAGGTAATGGTGTACTGAAATGAGGAGAGGGGAAAATGGCCAAAAGTGTCCATTTCATGCTTATCTAATGTACCAATGGCACAGAATCATCCATATCTGTAACATAATATATTATATATATCGCTTATATAATTTTATATAAATTATCATAATTTTGCACCAATGACAACCAGGAGATAACCAAAACTACCAATTTTGTTGGTTTGCTTTCATGTTTCACTGAAACCAACAAGAAAATCAGTGTTCATAAATTAAGCATCATTCTTGATATTGACAAATGACAACGTTTTTTTTTTTACTGGAAACTGTGAGTACTTTATTAATCAAACGAAGCGGTTACATTATCCTGCAACAGTTGATCAATAAGAATAACTGGTGGTCGGTCCACCCAAACAACCCTCTCGTTCCACCTAGTCTCTGTATGAGCCATAAGATGGGCCGCTTCATTTGCTTCTCGGCTGATATGCTTTCATTCACCTCGTCTCGATGCCAACAATAAGCGGCGTATACTACGGCACAATACGCCAACCTCATCATGTTGCTTTTCCGGATGATGCATTTTCTGGATTAAAGTCAGACAATCGGACTCCAAGACCACGTCGGAGTAATGAAAATGGGCTGCTAGTTGAGCCCCGAACTCAGCTGCCATAGCCTCGGCTGTCTCTGGTCTCCACTCGCCAGGGATTTTCTTTGTTGCATCTAGCAGGAATTTGCCGTCGCCATCCCGCGCCACCATAAGAACGTTGACTATGTCATAGCTCATATGAACGTGTCTGACAACAATTTTAAGATTTTGACAATATTAAACATCATTCGAAGATCCAAAGTGTTGTAAAAACTCATTGTTATAAGAATCAAATCAGATAGCTTTAATTCAATTGATTCTTAACAAATTAGTATTAATTCAATTAATTCTTAAAAAATTAGTATTTGCAATATGTGAGAACGGTTGGGCCAGTAGAACCACTAAATTAGTCACAATATCAGTTCGATTCATTTGATTGGATGGTTATACATGAACTGAACGGTTATTAACGATTTGACATGAAACAAGCTGAACCATCATAGTTTAACTAGTCTTGTTCACAATTTTTAACCACAAAAATAAGTAAGAATAAAATACGTTAACATAAACTAAGACAATTCATCCTCATTCACTAAATTTATTTATCCTTTCTTTTTTGTTTCCCATTTATCCTTTCAACCTCATTCACTAAATTTATTTATCCTTTCTTTTTTTCGTTTCCCATTTATCCTTTATTTTATTCGTTTCCCAATCTCCTTGTTGGATTTATCTGATTTGCTATGGATTGTCATTCTTTTCAATGACTTCAAGTTAATACAAAAATCATGATTTCTTTTGTGATGTAGTTTGAATATTTTGTTAGAATTTTTGGTAACAGATGATATGAATTTGAAAATTTTAAGGTTAACAATAAATTCACTCCTAACAATCAACCACAACGATCAACCAGTGAACGATCAACCAGCATGTAATAATTGTCGTTCTTTTTACAACATGAATGGTTCCGTAACGATCAACCAGTGAACGATCAACCACAAACTTTTCTAGTATACCATCCTATCCAATTACGAAAATATTGACATTAACAAAAGGTACATCTTTTGTGGACATTAGTGATTCAACAATAGATTAAAAGTTAATAACATCTAGCATTCCTAATAGCACTCTAAAAATGACAAGTTCTCAAGAGAAGAAAGAACACCATGAAATAACTAAATCCAGCTACTTGTTTCCAATCATGAAGATGGGTGGTACGCCATCCAACCACTGCACTGCACCATACAAATCGTACTGTTCATTCATCTGAGTTTAGATCTAAGTAAAAAACAACGGTATATACACAATTCCATCATATCTTCTTCATCTTCATCATCAGCTAAACCTTATTGGATGTAAGAAACAGGAGAAGTTTATAGGTTTCCCATATATTGTACAGTCGACTGCCCACAGGGCAGACCACAAACTCATCAATCCAGGGGAAATCACCTTATGTATCATCATCTCCAAATAGGAGAGATACCATGTGTACAAAAGCTATAAAACTACACATGGTGTTCTATGGCCCTTTTTTATTACAAAGGCAGACACTCTTTTCATCACCCATATGAGTTTTTCAAGCTTCAGAAGAAGAAATCCTGGAGACAAACACCATAACGATATATAGTTTTTCTTCCTCCCCCCAAACAAGAAGTGACAACATTAACAATGGAGCCAAAAAAACATAGAGCAATGTGCGATCAAAATGGGTCTCTTCCAGGATATTAAAAAGGTGTAGTGCCATTACCTTTTCCGAATTTCAAGGATCTTAAACGGTCCAACAGGGAACCCTCTGTCACCTCCAGCTCGAGCTGTGGGAGACGAAGAACATGTAGTCCGGATGATTCACTTGCAGAAGCCGTAGCCAGGTTTCAGCGGCACGCTGAAGTGAATTCACTTTCGGACAGTCATAAGTTCCATTTGGGATCCAGAATGAAGCCTTCAACTTATAAGAGGCGAGACCAAAGCTATAGAGCGATAGCTTGGACATGTCGGCGGATTGAGCATCCATCCGGGTGCCATTAATTGGTATTCCATCTGTGTTTCGACCTGGGACAAGAAGAAGACAACTAGATCATGATCGATCCAGAGCTATACTAATTTGGTATGATTTAATAATGGACTGGGTGAGCAACAGTTCGATCCGCATCGGAACAAACCAAGACCGAATCGAGGTATAACTTGGGATAAGTTTCGATTCTCAAACTCAACAGTTTCTTTGTTTTTCACTCCATTGTATCCACTCACCAACAAAGAAACTGAACTAAACATGGACAGACCAAAGACACCGATCTCATATTTTCTTCACTTTTTGCATATTGTTCCACAGAAAAATACTTAATAGGGAACCTGTTAGTAAGCACATTCTCCGGAGAAAAGAGAAGCTACCTTGAAAGGCAGAAGGTGTCGATAGAGAATGGAATGTCAAAAAGCATGCATCCAGATTTTGTAATGTTGGACCAGTAGGTATCCTGTAGATTGGGTACCAAGCTACCGACATCCAACTAGCAGGAGTGAGATCATAGCTTTTGCATGTTTTGAGCTCTGGAAACTGAGAAGCAAGGACTGCAATCTGTATACCCAAGGTTTCAAAAGTTAGGAGACCTTATGTATGAACAAAGTTGATTACTATTAATCCCAGAGCAAGATATTACCTGGTCTGCCAATGGCTGGCGGTGGAAAGGTGACTCATGCTCCATATACTCAAAGATGAGTTGGCCAGGGTTATTAGAAATGTCATTTTCGTCACTAGATGATCCCCTAGACGGCTTACTTCTCAAGGGAAGTCCATTCGGAATTGGAACATTAGAATCAACGCCATTTTGCTGGTTCCATGGCCCCCGTGCACCATGCTTTGCTCCTCCATAATCGCTGCTACTGTCACTACTTGTTTCCCTGGAAGATTCTGTATCACTATCCTCACCGTGCCTGCAAAATGATGGAACAAACAGGCACATCACGTATCCTAGCTGACTGGCAATTGGATGTTAAGCTTGAGAAACAGAAAGTAGTTTTTTCAAGTTTTTTTTATCAACGGAAAGCTGTAAAAGCTAGCTATAGTTCAAACTAATCCTATTGATGAGATAACAAGAATACATCCAAATGGAGTATACTGAAAATAATGCTTGCCAGAAAGCTGGTTTACTGCTTGCTCTGGCAGGCATTTCAATGCAATATCTATTTAACTGTTTCCTAGATATGCGATCTCAAAAAGTAAGATATTGCATCATCTAAGCAGATTTCATGTCCTGCTGGTGAGTCTGAGTTAACTAAAAGAGGCACAAGTAATTGCCCTGAAAGAAGGCCCAGGAGTTGGCATTCATCACAATCTACAGAACTGTTATCAGTATCTAGTCGTCCAATCTAGAGCAATGAACAACTGCATCATCTAGCAGATAGATATTGAACTGACAACCATGACACAGTAACAACACACCACTCCAACTAAAACAAGAACCAGGATAAGAAACCAACCACCAAACATATGGCCAAGAAACCAGAAGCCAAAAAAGAAGTGATGCATTCAAAGCAGAACGATTGTTCCTGGTAACAGTGTTAAGTCCAGCAAACAACAATAACCAAGCAAATATCACCAAGAAGAACCCATTATGCAAGTTGAACAAACACGGACGTTTAGTTTGAAAGAATAAACCAGAAAATAAGTAATCACCTTCGCCTTGTGGATTGTTTTGAGGCATCCTTATACAGCTGAATGCCGGAGAGGTAAGGGACATAATACTGGATGACAGTCTCACTGCCATCCAAAAGAAGGGGAACACCAACACCATATGCACTCCACTCCTTCAAAGACTCCCACAAATCATCCAGAACAAAGTAGGGGTGTTGGTGATGCTCCTCACCTCTTCTCCATCCTTTAACGCTAGTCTACAAAACCAGAATACTTGAATCTATCAGCGCTGTAAGTAGTCAAACACAGAAAGGCCAACTCGCCAATTGAGTTCATTAAGATTCTCTGATATACCCCGACGGAGTTCAATCAGCTATTCATAAGTTAATCTATAACTGCCCAGTTGACCATTAACACAGCAGGTTAAAAAAATGAGCAGTTAAAAACATAGAAGACTTCCGAAGTAAAACCCTACAGAAACGATTCAAATACCCAAAGACCCGATTAGATCCAGAAGCAAAGACCTTCCCATTACAGTATGTTAAAGAGCACTACAAAGAGTGAAGAAGGACGAAATGCAAACACATCCAGAAAACGGATCCCTAATAATCCCCAACCGGAAATTAGGGATTACCTTAGGTTGCAGTTGGGCAGCAACCACGGGAGTGGTGAACTCCAAGAACCGATCCAAATTGGTGTGGATACCGTCCGTACTCGGTCTCCCAGGGACGGAACAATTCGAGGCGGTGGAGGAAGTAGAAGAGGAACGGCACTGATCGGCGTCTACCCGCTTCTCGATCTCAGGCGAAGTACCATTCATCGGTGGATTCGCCGGCTTCTGCTGCTGCTGATGCTGTTGCTGCTGCGGCTGATACCTTTGCTGCGGCTGCTGCTGCTGCTGCTGCTGCTGCGGCTGCTGACTATTCTGCTGATGCCTCCTTCGCTGCTGCTGTTGCTGAAGCTGCACATGAGGCTTGCGCATGGCGGGAGAAACGTAGAATCGGCCGTCTCCGCGGGCTCTGGCCGTCGTAACTCCACCGGAACCCGACATTGCTAAAGGAGAAGAAAACGAAGTCGCGAAGTAGCAAAAAAACACGAGACGACGGCACAGAACCGGCGTCCAAAACCCTTTCCGCCCCTCGCCGATTCAGAGATTAAAACAAACACAAATCGGCGATAGGAAAACGCGAAAGAGACAAGAGGCGGAAATAAAGAGTTTGATAACTCCGGTGAACTGGTCGGTGGCAAAGAAGCGAGATTTCCAACTCGGGACTCGGCGCGCAGGAAAGGGTTAGTAAGGAGCGAACTCGGGGGGCCGGGGGTCGTTGACGGCGGCGGCGGCAGGGGTTTCCAGAAGAGATGCGGCGGTTCGAGAGACAAACCGACGGGAAGTCCAAATCGCTTTATCTTCTTCTGCTTCTACTTCGTCTTCCTTCTTTCTTCGGCTGGACGAATCGCTGTCTCCGATTTCGCGTGTAATAATTGAACGTTTTGGGAAATGAATTTGGGGGAATTTCTAGGGTTGTTGTTGTTGCTTTGCTTAGATTGAATTTTTTTTTTCTTTATCGGCGATTTTTTTGTTTGCCTTTGCTCGTGCCTCTGTCTGTGCGTGTGACTATATCTTTATTATTTTATATTTTTCTGAGGAATTTTGTATGGATTGGGCCCTCACTGGTCCATTTTGGGCCCAAAGTTTCTGTTATCCAGAGGGGAGAATATGCTGTGTTAATGATGCGATAGATATGATTAAGTTGGAATTTGTTATAGGGATGGTAATTGGTTGGGTTGAGCGCGGATAATGCATATTTGTTATTTTATTCAAAATAGTTTGGGTTTTACTCATACCCATACCCATATAAGAAATAGGTAGAAAATTACAACAATGCTCATACCTGTTCGGGTTTCGGGTATCCACGGTTATCCATGGGTAATAATTTCTCTTCATAAACCAACCAATATGTTAACATTCACACGTATTCTCACCTTACATAAGAGAAAAAGTACGAAAATAATTTATTAGAATGAAGAAAATTAATTAAAATAACACAATTTCATAAAAATATTATATTTATATGCTAAATATAAAATATGTTGGAGAAAAATAATGACTATTTCTATAAAAAATACATGTGCATATGCATAATTGGGCGGGTTCGGGTTGGATAGTGAGAAAACCATGCCCACCCATTACTCGCAATATTCGAGTTCGGATTTTACCCGTACCCACTAAAAGTCTTTCTGGTTCGAGTTTTACCCTACCCGATTAGATCGATTTCGGGTGGATATCCACGGTTACAGATATTTTTGCCCTCCCTAATTTGTCATTTGAGTAGTCGTCGTAAAACCTATTTTAGGCTTTTAGAGTTATTGGCTTATTGCCAAACAATTTTGTTTATTTAAAATTTTTAATGCTATTAACTATTATGCCCTAACTTACTAAAACAAACATCTCTTTAACTATTAAGTATAAAAAAAAAATATTGTCATCTTAAAATAAAAAAAAACAGAGGAATGTGAATGATTAGAGGTCCTGTGATTTACTTTGTTGTAGTTTGATGATTTTGGTGGGAATGTGGGATAGATGAGTAATAATATCGAGATGCATATAAAAAATTAAAGGTGTCCGAAAATTACAAGACTTTTCAGGTATTGAGTTAAACAAAAGAAAGCTCAGTATGTGTGAATATCCCATGCCTCATTAATAATGTGTGATGAGACATAGTGCTACTTAAAAAAGCACTCTAGTAATCGTGGGTGTCAAAGAAAAAAAAATCACATGTCTTATAAAATATTCATTTACGATGTCATGAATGTCGACCCATAACATTGTAAATTGAGAACATAAATTAATACTTATCAAACAAATAAAATCAGCAAAGAGCCAACATCATGAAAAAATGTGAGTGGTTATATATACTGTTCAATTATTTGGTTACTTATTTCTTGGTCTAGTGTTGTATTCTTCAATCTATTTATAAAACTTTTTTTATTCAAGTGAAATTCCCACATTTGGTTGTAATCATAGACACCTTGTATTTGTTTCACTATAAATATTCCCTAAAATGAGGGAAAGAACAAAAGACAGCTGGTTACCCTAATTGCAACATGCTTTGTTAAAATTTTGAGGATTTGTTCACGTTTTGTAACAAGGAACAAAATTTGTTTTATTATTATCGACCGTGTTTGTGAAAGGGATAATAGAAAACTTAGTCGTTTAGTGACAAGTAACTAGACCTTCGTTTCTTGGTAGGTGGTTTAGGTAAATGTTTTGGTTAGTGAAGTATTTAATGGCTTACCAAACTAATCACAGCTGAGTTTATTTCATTTTATGTTTTCACCTACCTTTTTTACGGAGTTAAAATCGAATAAAAAAGGTGTCGAAGAACTAAGAGATCGTGGTGAGATAATCACTCACCGTTTACAATTAGATTTTCTTTTGGAAAAGTTGCAAATATAATCTTTAAGGTAAGTCGAAGGGAAAATAAAAATGGTGAGATCCAGGCAGGTAATCATAATAAGTCGATCTAGTCACATTCGGATTACTCATCACCATTTATTGGATTAAAGGAGAAGCGCAAAGCAACAACAGACAACCCAAGGTATTTATAATACAAACCCTGTAATATAATAGCTAATATGTAGGAGTCACATAAGCAATGCCATAAGTTCATTCACGACTTTTCGATGTTTACTATTATGTTATAGTCTAAAAACTCAGTCATTGATTATCAAAGTTTAAATCTTAGTCGCCGACATTTGTTTAGCATGTATTTTTTTTCATAAAGGTGTCCTTAAAATATTTAATAAAATATGAATCTGTGTTGAGCAAGTTGCATAAACATTTACCACATTCCAAGCAGGTCGTTAGTACTTCTACATAAACGCGTACATGTTCTTGTTCATTAATATGTACTAATGTTCTTTCTGATTTCCTAGCTTTGACATAAATACAGCTATGGTGATCTTCAGCTATGAAGCAGAGGTGACCACCTCCATCCCTCCGGCGAAGATGTTCAAGGCCTTTGTCATCGACGGCGCCAAGATCGCCTTAGAAACCTTCCCGGATTTACTCAAGAGCATCACCATCGAAGGCGACGGCGGCCCTGGAACCATCAAGGAAGTCCATTTTACCGACGGTACGTAACGTAACAAATAAGTAACCAGAGCTTGTTTTGACAGGAGTCGTGCAATTCGATTAACCATGGTTTGCTGAGAAATTTATCCTTTGCTGCAGCGAACCCGTTCAAGTCTGTGAAGGAAGTAGTGGACGAGCTGGACAAGGAGAAGCTGATCTACGGCTACACTGCGACCGGAGGGGATACAGTTATCGCCGGCGTCGAGAAAATCTCTTACCGAATGGTGCTGGAGGAATCAGCCAACGGCGGAACGATCTGCAAGCGCAGCACCAAGTTCTTCACCTCCGAAGACGGAGGGAACGGGGAGAAGGAAACCAAGGCTGCTCATGAGGAAATGCGGCAGATGTTCTCTTCTATATTCAAGGCTTTCGAAGGCTACCTCCTGGCCAATCCTGCATCTTGAAAATTGCAAACGTACTGAGCTTTGAATACAAGAAATCTCTCCTTATTGCTACTCCAGAACCATCTTATTAGACTATTGAAGATGAAAATTTAAGAAATGTCTAAATTCATGTATGTTGATCGTCTAACTGATGCGAAATCGAGCTAAATTAACAACAAAAGGAGGAGCCTTACTCAACTAAACGATATACATAGTATGATTGTATAAAACCTCTCGAACTTCTCCTTACCTGTACAAACTGGTATATGTGCAGTTGCAAAGTTGCAAAGCTACGACGGCATAACATGTTCTCTGTCTGAAGTCTGAACTGAAAGCCAGTTATTACCTGAAGACCATATTCTGAGGCATCGTCAGATATGTGACGAGATCCTATTCTGAAAGGAGGAACAATGGAAGCACATTCATCTGGTTCGGGCCTCTGATCATCCAAACGATCTGCAGACGCATTAGAACAAGCAAAGGGACATCAACAGTGGGGAAAAGAATCTTCATCAAGGAAAGATTCACAGTCAATCATCTGAACTTAAAGTTTTCCTTCCTTTTCTTTTAATCAACGCACCAATTTGCTTAATAATCTTCATCATCAGTTTGCTGCTCTACTTAATGCTACAGCAGAAGATGCAAAGAAATGAGTTGATCAGTTGAGGAATAATTCAATATGCACCTCTTTCGATCGTGCAACACGAGCATATTAGTCGGATGGTGTGTACCGCCACATGCATGGGCACTATCTTGAAGCAAACTATTCACTGTACATACTTCTCTTCATGTGTTTCAAAACACCAAGATTCCACTCGTGCTTGAATACGTCGTCAGGCCATAATCCATCATCCAACATTCTGTCACGAAGAGCCTCGGCCCCTTCTACGTCTCCAACACTAAAGCATCCACGTATAAGAGACGTGTATGTCACTGTGTCTGGTAGTAGCCCTCGACCAATCATCTCGTGGAAAAGCTGGACAGCACTGTGGAAATTGTTTTCCTTCTGAAGCTCGTCTATCAAAACATTATAAGTAACAGCATCAGGCTCTAAACCCATTCCCTTTAGTTCACTCAAACATTTCCAAGGGTCTATTACAGTTTTGATGGTGTTGATTTCCATAGTCCTCCCCCTCTTGGGCCATATTTTGGCATCAAGCAATACTGTCCAAGTGGTGATATCTGGTTTAACCCCTTTCTCATTCATATCAACAAACAGATCACAGGCTTCTCTCAAGCGATTGAGCTTGCAGTAGCCATCTATCATCTTTGTGTACATAACCACATCAGGTATTAGCTCTCTGCTAAAGAGATTAAAAACATATTGAGCCTTATCCATTTCTCCAGCACAAGAAAGCATGCCTATAGCATTGCTACAGAGAAAGTTAGAATAACCCGCCCCCAGATCTACCATCTTCCTGACCAGGTGAATACATTTATCGTGATCAAATTCCAAACTCGAAAGCAGTTTCAAACAAGATCGTTTCTCCAGTATATACCCTTTACCACACAAAAAAAGGAACAGTTCAAACGCCTTCTCCAACCTTTGTGCTGTGCAGTAACCATTAATCATGGCGTCATAGATGTACAAGCTCTTGCCTTTCACGTCGTTAAAAACTGCTTCAGCATCTTTTAAGTTGCCTCCAATGCATAGCCCTTCAAAGATGACACTGTATGTGTCAATGTTAGGTTGTATATCATGGTCCTTCATCTCATCGAACAGCTCTCTCACTCTTTCTGTAAGACCCAATCTAGACAAACTCGAAGCACGTATATTATAAAAGATGATATCAGGGTGAATCCCATTTTCCTTCATTTCTTCGATTAACATTCGAGCCTTTTCAAATCGAGTCTTGTCGCCATACCCTCCAATGACAGTTGTATAGTTAATGAGATCAGGAGCCATACGGTTATCTTTCATCTCAGTCAGCAAATTATCAGCATCTTCCACTTCCCCTAACTTGGAAAATGCCTCGATCAGTATATTGTAGCAAGGCTTATCAAGGTGAACACCCATCTTCTTACATGTCCCGAAAAAACTCTGCAGCTCAGAACCCTTGCCTGCTTGATATAAGCCATGAAGAATATAGCTGACAACTACACAGTTCGTTCTCACACCTTTCGACAGCATCTCGTTGTGAAGAACCACAGCATCGTGCAACTTCCCACCTTTGTATAACCCATGAATCAAAGCACCATAAGCATACACATCAGGGACAAAGCCCCGGCTTTTCATCTCTTCCATGACCTTCTCAGCCTGTTCTAGTCTCAACTCATCACAATACCCTCGAATCAAAACCGTATAAGCAAACCCATCTACGGGACACTCATCTTTTATAAACGCTTGAAGCGCTTGATACCCATAATCAGAGAGCTTACATTTACAAAGCTCTTGGATATAAGTCGAGCAGGTGAAAGCATTCGGAGTCACCCCACTTCTCCTCATGATCTGGAAAACATCCAGCGCATCGCCGAAGCGACCTTGTCTACAGAATGCCTTCACTGCAGTGCAGTAAGTGTAATCATTAGGATCGAGACCAATGGAGTCCAATTCCTTATAGATGGCCACCGCACAATCATCCTTCCCAGAAGCAACCAAACGGTTCATGAGGAAATTGCATGCCCTAATGCTCGGTGTTATCCCCAACTGCTTAGCTTGGCAAAGAACATCGATTGCCTCGTCGAACATTTCAAGCCCCGTGTGAAGTTTAACCAATGCATCCCAAGCTTTTGAAATCGAATAAGCATTGGAACAATAATCACTCATTTTTACCAGTTCCTTCCTGATTTCATGCAGTTGACGACCCATGTAATTACCGACGACATCATCAGCTAGCTGACGAGTTGGATCGGCCGAAGCCGGGTTTGACCAGGTCGGGCTTCTAGGTAGGGAAAGCGCGGGAGCAGAGTAGTAGAATCGTGTCGGAATGACTTGTTTGACGCAATTAGAACAGAAATTGAGCTTACCCGGTGATACCCACATGGAAAGTTGCGACCTTTTCCCCCGGAGATTTTCAATGTCGGGGCAGTTTCAAGCGACGGCCGGAGAGTCCCGGCGAAGAGAGGGAGGGAGGTTCGGCGGCGATTGCGAACTGAAACGGAAGTTGTCATCCGTCTAATCCCTAATCCTAATTGCATTTCCGTGCAATACATTCCCTTGCGACTCCCATCGACTCTTCTCAAACTTTTTTTTTTTTGGGTGAAAGACTGAATTCTCAGCTTTGTTGCTCTCTAAAAGGACCCAACCGGATACACCTGGGCGGTTTTTGGATCAAAATTGACCCATTGGGTGGGGTCTCGAGATGTCTATTGTGAATAGGGATGGCAATGGGGCGGGTTTGGGGCGGGTTTGTCTAAACCATCCCCATCCCCATCTTCAAATATCCAAACCCATACCCGCCCCATACCCATGCGGGGGAATGTTTTGCAAACCCATCCCCATACCCGTGGGTTTCGGATGTCAAGAACCAGTTGCTCCCAATAACTCGAGTTGTTGGGAGAGATTCAATCGTGGATCTTATACCACTCTCTAACACGCCCCCTCAAAACGAAAGCCAACCCATGGGCTTGAAGTTTGCACAGGCCCACCATACCATGTGCTTGAAAGACAACGGTTAATATTGTGGGTCGTGGAGATTCGAACACATGACCTTTTGGTTCTAGGCTCTGATACCATGTCAAGAACCAGTTGCTCCCAATAACTCGAGTTGTTGGGAGAGATTCAATCGTGGATCTTATACCACTCTCTAACATCGGATACCCATGGGTAATACCCATACATCCAACATTATTATACCTAAAATTTACAAGAAAAAGTTTTAATTATTACTCTAAACGAACCTATTATATCATGAAGTCAACAAAACACGATCATTTTCTTAATACGGTTCAAAGTATATGATCCTAAAACATTCATTAATACATAATATAGAGTATAATATTTTTCAAATTATCATCTTCTAACTCTTATACATCTACTAAGTAATAATTAACTACATAATCTTGTAGACAAGGGGAAAAGTGAAAGAGTGAAAGGAGAATTGAGGGAAATGAATTAGATTTTGATTAAAATGGTCACTCAATTGCATTTCTACTATTTATTTCCTTGAGTTATCCTTATCACCATTGATAGATTACAATTTAATCCACATATTTTTTTATATGTGAAGAAATTCTCTTGGTGGGGCGGGTATGGGTATGGGTATGGGGCGGGGGAGGTCAAAACTATACCCGCCCCATACCCATCAAACTTTTTGCGTGTTTTACCCATACCCACCCCATATCCGGTCAAAGCGTGGATTCCCCACGTTGACTGGGTCGGGGGCGGTCGGATACCCGCGGCCATGGGTTTTATTGCCATCCCTAATTGTGAAACCGATAGGAGGTTATACACTTATACTGGAAAAGTTGGTGGTAGTGTATTTTGTACTAAAATTTTAATTTAATTGTGGTTCAACTGTTTTCTACCACTAGATTGATCTAATAATTTGTGTTCGGTATAGATCAGCGGATAAGAAAATTTGTCCATCTGTAATAGAAATTACATTGGTAGGAATATAAGCCGAAACGTCTCCCGATTGGGCGTCCAGTTCCTATAGAACCTATCAATAAAATACCACTAGAGGGGGATAGGGCTAAGCGGAGCGAAAAGGGTTTCGGAATAGGACAACACTCATCTTGGGGTGGGCTTACTACTTAGATGCTTTCAGTAGTTATCCGCTCCGCACTTGACTACCCAGCGTTTACCGTGGGCACGATAACTGGTACACCAGAGGTGCGTCCTTCCCGATCCTCTTGTACTAGGGAAAGACAATTTGTGCGACCAGATGTACAGACAGATGGTATTTTCGTCCTACTGGCCAATACGGTAGGAGTAGGGTGAGTTTCTTAGACATTGATGGGCTAATACATTAACCTGCAATCTGCATCCCAAAAGGAGATCGTCAAGACGTCAACCAAACAACCTTACTGTTTTACGTATTGTATCGTTAGAACACTCTGAAATACGAGCGAATTACCACAAACCAAAAACTCTAATCCATATCTAATTAGCATTCATAATCCCACTAGGAAACCAAATCTTCCCTCCCCCCTATAATTAAACTATATCTTGACACAAACCAAATATACTAATCATCCTTTTTGACCGGCCGGTAAAACCTGAAAGAGGAACTCTTTACCAAGACCACAATCAAACGCCGCCATGAGTTTCTCTTCTCCCGAATCCACCTCCGCCGCCGGCGCCACTCCCACCCGTGATCCTCACCGCCGACCGCCGCATCCACTCCCCGCCGCCCCAATATGGTTTTCCCTGCCTCCCGGCCCCTGTTTCATCGGCCCTCCTAGGCCAATCCCAATCCCAATGCCGCCGGCGATGAGTCCTCCGCCGCCGCATTACCACCCACGGTGGCCGCTGCTGCGGCCGAACCCGGTGTGGGTCAATTGGGCATTGTACGTCACTCACATTCGATCCGCCATCAGGAACCAAGTGGAGTACTACTTCAGCAGGGAGAACTTGATCAAAGACTGGTACTTGAGGAAGCACATGGACGAGCAAGGGTGGGTGGAAATTGGGTTGATCGCCGGTTTCAATAGGGTTTCGCGGCTGACCGGCGACGTCAACGTGGTTGTGGATGCTCTGAGGAATTCAAGCGTGGTGGAAGTTTGTGAAGATAAAGTGAGGAGAAGGGGAGATTGGTCTAAGTGGGCGAGTGAAGGATTCGGTCTTTTGAGCAGAGGGAAGGCAATTCATTAGGGATGTTGGACCTAACCTTGAGAAAGATGGGATGGGAGAAGAAAGCGTAACGAGTCAGAAGAAAAAATTGCTTGGTTTGAAGGGGCCCCATAAGAGCAAAGAAAGCACTTTCGAGGCTCTGTTTGTCGAATCATTGAATTGCGCTCTGGCTTTCTTTCCCGGTTGGTATCAGCCAAGTGCACTGAAATTTCCAGCTAGGGCTTAATGAGGATTAAGGAGGCCTAGCTCCTCTGTTTTCTCTGGTTTTAGTGTAAGAAAATCTCAAGTAATCAGTAACTAGCAAGTAAGTAGTACTATCATATTTAAGTTAGCTGTCAATGAAAGAAAATCAATGTTGTCAACCCGTGGGTTGACCCGGACCCAATCGAGTTAGTGGGTCAAGGGTTAATGGATCAACCGTTTTAGCTCGGTTTGGCCCGGAAATATGGAAATAGTCATTATATTGTACTTATCCTTATAAATTATATCAAATCTTATCTAACATATGAGTTATAACATATAATATTACACCAAAATAACATATCGTACTTAGATCCAGCATTAAGTGAAAATTCACACACACTTATATACCATCAATATTCAAATATTCAACTTAGGATTCCAAAGATTGAGTTAGGCGAAAAGAAAAATCGGAAAATAGGCGCATTTTGCAACCAAAGAAAAATTTGACACAATTTGACCCATCAACCCGGTACCTTGTAGCGATCGATTCGGGGGGTGCGTGCGGCCCGTTTTTCTCACCGTGTCAGGGTCAAAGTGGGTCGACCCACGGGTCAACTCGCCGGTTGACAACCTTGAAGAAAACTGTCTATCCTAGAGTGCATTCCGTTTCGATGTTTTGTATCAATCGCATGTTATTGTATGAATTTTTTTTATTACAAAAACAATGTTTGGTTTACTGTATTTGTGCTAGAAATTGAATAAGAAAAGTGAAAATTGTACGGAGAATCCAAGTTTATAGAGTGAATTTCCAAATACTTCCTACCTTAGAATTTCGATGCAAGAGATTTGCATGTGTGCGATGACCATTGCACTCAAATATCAATCGTCAATAAACAATGATCTACAGCATTTAAGATGCTGTTTCTCTTGAACCATCCCTTCATAGTAAAACTGTCGCGTAACACAAACGTGTCAAACGTTAATTATAACTAGCTGTTACCTCTTACATTTATTCATGCCAACGTTAATACCTTTCTCACTTGTTCCATAAGTACAGACTCTCAAAAACCCTTAAACCATTTCCTCACAAACTCCCTAGTTCGTGCTGCTAATTGTTCCCTCACGTTTCCAAGCAAAGGAAGAACCAGGTGAAGAGGGAAGCCGGAAATGGGTTTGATAACGTCGGAAACGGAGATCACCACGGCGATTCCGGCGGCGAGGCTGTTCAAAGCATTCGTCACCGACGGCGACACCCTCATCCCCAAAATCGCGCCGCAGGCGTTCAAGAGCTTCGGGATCCTCGAAGGCGACGGCGGCCCTGGCACCATCAAGCAAATCCAAATGGGCCAAGGTCTTTCTTTCTTTCTTTCTTTCTTTCTTTCGAGTCGATGTGACTCCTTGCTTGCTTGACTATTGATATTTTTTTTCTCCCGTAAAACAGCGGGACAGTTTAAGATCTTGAAGGAGAAGGTGGAAGCGATCGACAAAGACAATCTAGTGTACGAGTACAGCGTGATCGAGGGCGAGGATGTTCTGCTAGACTTGTTCGACAAGGTAACCTACAAGGTCAAATTCGTGCCGGACGATGATTCGTCGTCGTCGGGTGGAGGGTCCATTGCGAAAACTAGCCGGACATATTACACGAAAGGCGGCGACAAAGTGATTAAGGAGGAGTTTATCAAGGAAGGCAATGATAGGGCTCTTGTTATGTTCAAGGCGGTCGAAGCCTATCTTATGGAACATCCCGACGCTTAATAAATCTAATAAGAAGGATTTATAGTGAATGTATCTTTACGAACAATGATCTAGTCTGGTGATAATATCACTAACTTTCAATATGGATTATCCAGGTTTAATTAATTACCTTCTTAAGTAGTACCTAAACTACAAAACCATATTATGAAAAAAATCCTTATAAGAAATAAGCTGCTGGCCTGCACAATGAATAAGGCCATACGGCAAAGTTACAAAACCCCGATCTCATAGCCATCTTTGAGCTGGAAGAAGAGCATCTAAATTCTACTCCCAAATCCAAGAAAGAAATTGTTCAGCCTTCAATATCTTTTCCATGCATGAGCACTTTACTTTTATGCATGGTACATGAAACCATACCGTACCGCCGGTTCAACCACAAAATACTAGTATCGGAGGTTAAACCGATAGGTGATATTTATCGGTACTAACGGTTGAATACGGTTAAACCACGGTTTTGCCATAAAATACCCTACCACTGACTTTTCCGGTACGGTTTCATGGACCATGCTTTTACGGCCATTATTTGTTAAGAGGTATAAATGCCGACTTAGTAGGAGAGAAGGCAGGCAGCTGCCACAGTGACCTTAGTGATGATTCCTCATGGAAGATTTGTAGTTGTGTCACACTTCTCCCATGGATTGCATACATAAGAATTAAAATATAGATATTAAAAAACCATTTTTTGATCCAAACAACCATACCTGAACTCGGTATGATCGACAACCAATACTTGTGATCTAGTAAGATGTTTTAACGTGGTTGAATATGGTCCAATCAAAAAGCAATTGATATCACATATCCAAATACATCAAACAACTAGACCAACCGAGTGATCAATGCATTGTAATTCTCATACCAACACTTTGAATTTTTTGGACTACATAACTACTACATCCCCAAATACTTGTAATATATGGTGAATTTGAATTCATCCTCCTACTGAAATTTCATTAAAGAGACATTTTTATCCAATATAAAAAGAAGAAGGAAAGAAAGAAAAAAAAAAAACTCAGCTACTAAAGTTGCAGCTTTTCTGGTTATACTCCTTGTGCACAATTGCATGCCTCCATTATAGGTGGGTGAACAGTACAAGCTTTTTTCTCTCCTCCAAACAATTAGCCACAACTTCATTCCTAATCACCAAATTTGGTTGAGGAGAGGCACAGTATAAATGGGCCATCTACCTCTCTGCTCATACCATTCTATCAGCAAATTCTCACCTACACAAGGAAAATCCAAGCCAAGCCAAGCCATGGCAGCTGCTGTTGTCACATTCAAAGATGAATTCACAAGCCCTGTCCCAGCCAAAAGACTGTTCCAAGCCATGATACTTGAAGTTGACACCCTCCTCCCAAAGCTCTTGCCTCAAGTTTTCAAGAGCATTGAAACCATCCAAGGGGATGGTGGCCCTGTGAGCATCAAGAAGTTGAACTTTGTGGAAGGCAAGTCCATCTTACTCCTACCCTCTTTTGCTTTCTTTGTAGAAGCCTAACTATATTTGTGACTTTCTAACTCGATTGATCTGTATTCCGATTAAATGTGTTGTAGCAAATTTCACATCTCTAATCCATTATGTATAACCTAAGTTGACAAATTAGAAGCCCGAAACTGGTCAAATTGTGACCCCATTAATTGATCATTTTATTTCCCCTTAAAAAATTTAAAACTTGGTCGATGCAAATCAAATTAATAATGAGAATCGACGAAAAAAGGTAAAGTGACTATATTCGTGACTTTTGACGTATGTAATACAATTGATCTTTATTCCGATAAAATGTGCTCTAGCCCATTTTATATTTCTAACCCATTCAGCTGACCCATATGTATGGTATTACCTAAGCTGACAAATTAGGAGTCCGAAACATGTCAATTTGTGACCGGATTAATTAATCTGATGGAGCGGTATTCAATTGACCATTAAAACTTTTTAACATTCGGTCGATGCAAATCAAACCAATAGTAAAAAATGACGAAAAGGGTAAAATTACCGATACCACCTACTAGCTTCTAACATGATTAAACCTTCTATGTGCATATATAAGCCCAGAGTTCCCAGAATCTGTTTCGATTGAAACAATCCATCAACTCATGATCTCAGAAAAAAGCAACCCGATTAACTCACAATCCGAACTACCCGCCGAAACCCAACTCAATTGCGGGCCGTTTGAATTCACCATTCCATCCTTCATTTTTTCCCTTTCTTCCACAGGACCAGGTGGTGCTGGACTTCAGTTTGTGAAGCACAAGATCGAGTCACTGGACAAGGAGAGCATGTCCATGAGCTACACTGTGATAGAAGGCGATCCAATGCTCGCGAAGGCCGAGGCGATCGCCGTCGAGCTGAGGGTGGAGGCAGCAGCTGATGGAGGTTCCAAAGGGGAGCACATCACCACTGTGACTCCAAAGCCTGGAGTGGAGGTCAAGGCAGAGGAAGCCATGGCTGGGAAAGGAATGGCTATGGCTGTTCTCAATGCTGTCGATGCTTACCTCGTTAACAATCCTCAAGCTTATGCCTAGAGAATTATGGAATCCTAAGAGTTTCCTATGGACTCTTAGATCTTAATTACTCTTTGTTGCTCTATGACATTTGCCATTCTGTTGTTTTGTAACGTGACCAAGTCAAAAGAGCCAACTTATGGCTTCATCAATAAACGACAATTTCTTAGTTGAGTTGCACATGTACTCGTTAGTTGGGACTCAAAACTGGTTAATACCACTTGTAACATTTCAAATATTTTTTTTATTGAGATATTGTGTGCTTTCGCATGTATGGGTGTTTAATGGGTTGGTTCGTACCGGACCAAATCGTCATTTGGATCGGACGATGCCTAATTGAATATAATATGGTCCGGTCTTTGGTCAAATGAATTTTATAAACGCTAAACAAAAAATGGACCGAATGGACATTTGGATCGTACAAAACCAGACCGAATATACTAATGATTGTGTCTTTGGTTCTAAGACGTCTTTCACTTTTAAAACGCAGTTCTCATGAGTTTGGTCCGGCCTTGACCGGATCAAACCGTTGCGACCCCTAACCACCCGGTTTTCATTTTGGATACATCATGATTAAGGGTGGACAATGATCTGGTTTACACTGGACCTGATTTTACAAAATCAATATTTGGATTGAGTCGAGTCAAATAGATTTTGATAAGTATCCATCCAACAAATGATCCGAAGTATTAAAGAAAAACATACCGAAATGCAGTTTTCATTCCTTATGGTTTATCGATCTCTCCATACTTTGTTTTGACGTTGAGATTTACAAAAAAAAAAAACCCTTCTCTTTTTGTTTTCCCAGGAAGCCCTAAAACAAGAAGCAGACCGCTAATCCGACTAATATTTAGCTAGGAGGCAGGGGATGAGGGAATAATCAATCAACCATGGACTTATTGTGAATGGATTCTAAGCATATGCCTCTCCACAGAGAGCTCAGAACGAGAAGCAACAAAAAACTGCCGGCTGCCTTTTGGTCCCTTCCGTTTGCCCTGCGGAATCCCTCCATTTTTTTTAAGCAATCAAACTTTGAAGATATCAATGGATCGATTTTTGGAAGCACCCTTTGGACAATCTAACAAACCAACTAAAGCTCCTCTGTTTTTTCAGCTTCTATAAATACCCACCATTCCAAAGAACACCACCAGAACAGTTTCCTTTCTCAGCCTGTTTTCCTCTCTTAAACGAAGCAAAAAAGAAATCACCATGGGCGTCCACGTTTACACAGAGGAGAACCCATCCCCTGTTGCTCCATCGAGGCTGTTCAAAGCCCTGATTGGAGACTCTGAAACCCTCATGCCCAAGCTCCTACCTCAGGTCATCAAATCACTCGCACTCGTCGAAGGTGATGGCGGCGTTGGCTCCATCAGGCTCATCGCTTTCCACGAAGGCACGGTTTCTCTATAAAAAAACCCTACTTCCGCTCTTTCTATATCTCGTCAACTTTTTAACCCCAAAAGTTGGGTTTTTGCTCACGTGTAATGTAATCATCGTTTTAGAAATCAAACCTTGTTGGCTCCGTCGTACCGGAAATATTGGATACGGGATATCATATCTCAAATTGGGGTGACGGTTTTAACTGATATGAAATAATTAAATTACGATTAAGTCAAACAGTTGTCGACAGATTTTAAGAACATAAGTTAAGAAAGATATGTTCTACCGTCTTTATCGTCACCTCACATTACTCATATAGATACTAGTTATTGTTAGATTTAAAGTCATATTAATCATTTCTGTCTCAAGCGAAATGACCCGTACTACATTTATGAGAATCGATTCGTTTCAATGAATTGAGTTTCGTTTGTTTTTGTCAGGTGTTCCGAGTAAGAACGTGAAGACGAGGATCGATGCTCTGGACGCCGAGAAGTTCGAGTACACATACACGTTGCTGGAGGGAGACCTATTGAACGAGAAGATCGAGAGCATCTCTTACGAGGTGGTGTTTGCCCCTGGAACCGACGGAGGAACCGTAGCGAAGATCAAGACCACCTACGCCACCAAGGGCGGCGAGGCGCCGACGGAGGAGGAGCTCAATAAGGGGAAAGAAACCGGCATGGCTATGTTCAAGGTCGTGGAAGGTTACCTTCAGCAAAACCCTGATGCCTATGTTTGAATGGGGGAAAATGAGAGAGGAAGAAAGGAGTTTGTTTTCAGTGTGTTGTGAGTTTTGGATCTATTGAAGAATAATGAGTTGGGTTATGTTGGATGGGTTGTCGGTTAATTAGAGATTGGAACATATAGAAGTTCCTATATATATGTGTGTACTCTTAGTTGATACTCTTGTTGTTCTATGGCATTGCCATTCTGTTGTTTTGTAATGTGACCAAGTTAAAAGAGCCTACTTATGGTTCCATGAATGAAAGACAATGTTTTAGTTGAATTTCACATAATTCATAGCCTATAATCAATAGAGTTTGTTATGTTGGGGAATTAGGGATGATTCCACCCAAACTCTAACCGAATCGCAGAATTGGGCATGACAACAAGGCACCACATTTTGTTTGGGCATATGACATAGGTAATATTCCTGTCTCACTTCGTTCTCGTTCTCGATCTCTATTTATCTCAATTTGCTCTTAATGTCGACTTACATTTCTCATGCTTTGACTTTTATTGTAACACGTTTCACTCCGCTAAACTCTGACTAAGAGAAGAAAAAGGGTTGCACCATTCTTATCACCAGATGGGCGCCATTAATTACACTAGGGTCGTCCAATGAATAGTTGAGAGGCCATATTCTAAAACTGAAACGTGGTCCAATTTTCTGGAGTACGATTAAATAAAAATGGTCACAACACAGTTATTTAAACAAACCAAATACTACGAGAGAGACCTATGATTCATGAAGGAAAAAAATCAATCTCAACCAACAAAACATATTTTTGTGGTAGAATGAAAGAGTTATTTAAAAAAAACTCCGAGTTTGTTCATGATTAAGATTGAGCAGTACAAAAATGAGTAACCTCTCGTAAAATAATTATGACATACCCGAAAGTAAAACCATTCAGAAAATCGATTATATCTTTGTCAGAAACAGGGGCAGGCAGGAATGCACAATTCTCTTCTCTCTTTCCTTGTTCATCTTGTTTGAAAAGAACTCTAACGTCGCTATATCGTCCAAAATATAGTTGCCACAGTTTCACGGCCACCTTAAGCTAAATACACCTTGTTCAATTGAACAATAATCCCAAATTCCGAATATTACAGCCAGGCGGCAGTGGAGAGACAGAGAACAATCATCAATCACCACGAGATAACTCTGACTGAGAAGCAACCAAAACTGCCGGCCGATTCCTTCCATCTGCACCTGCAGAATCCCTCCCTTGTTTAATAACAATCAAAATTTGGTGATATCAATGAACTATTGGCGCAATCCAAGTGAACTCTCTGTTTTCAGTCTCTATAAATACACCACCATTTTCAATTCATATCACCATCGCAAATCAGTTCCAAACAACACTCAACATCATTTCCTTCGTCGATCTTCTTCGCCGCAACCATTTTTCTCACCTAAATCAATCATGGGTGTCCACGTTTACGCAGAGGAGAACACATCCCCTGTTGCTCCATCGAGGCTGTTCAAAGCCCTGATTGGCGACTCTGAAACCCTCATGCCCAAGCTCCTTCCTCAGGTCGTCAAGTCCATCTCGCTCCTCGAAGGCGATGGCGGCGTTGGCTCCATCAAGCTCCTCACTTTCCAAGAAGGCACGGGTTCTCTCTAATAAACCCTAGCTAGCTACATTGCTCTTTCTGTACCTGTATGGTTTATACATCACAATGTTCAAAGCCATATCCACTACTGTACCACATTGTGGTATCAGTTCATCTTGATAACTCGAGTTTTTATGTCTGCGTGCAGGGGTGCCGAGCAAGAGCGTGAAAACAAGGGTGGATGCCACGGATGCGGAAAAGTTCACTCACAAGTACACGTTGCTGGAGGGAGACCTGTTGGACGAGAAGATCGAGAGCATTTCGTACGAGATGGAGTTTGCCCCTGGACCCGACGGAGGAACCATCGGGAAGATCAAGGCCATCTACGTTACCAAGGGCGAGGAGCCGCCGACTGAGGAGGAGCGCAAGAAAGGGAAAGAAACCAGCTTGGCTATGTTCAAGGTTGTGGAAGGTTACCTGCAGCAAAACCCAGATGCCTACGTTTGAAGAAGGAAAGGAAAGGAAATGAGAGAAAGAAGAGGGTTTGGTTGAGTTTGTTTTTCGGAGTTTCGGATCTTAATGAAGAATAACGGTTGTGGGTTGGGTTTGTTTGTTTTTTTTTTCTTGCTTCTTCTTTTCAGTTTGGTTTGTCTTATGAATTATGACCATTCATCCACACATTCACTGGTGAGGAGTGTCTGGTTTGTAATCCTATTATACTAGTCGGTTGTACTTGTTGAATCACACATTAAAATTCAACTTGGTAAACAGTTATAATAATTTGTTATGGTCTACCCGTCAATTTTTTGTTGCCAATTCCATTACTATATTATGTCTACAACTATAACTTTACTTCGTAGAAACGAAAATCGACCATCTCAGTCACATCCAACTATGCCATTTTAAATATATATATAAATATATTCAATTTAAATTTAATATTTATAATTTTGTTTGGATACAGTTTCATTTTATTATTATGCAAAAGGATATGTATTCACTTTCATTTCGCACACAATTCATCTTCAATTCTAATGGAACCATACATATTTCAATAACCTGCCGCATAGTGCGGGCCAATTATCGAGTGATAATAATTGAGATAGAAAACCAGTTTTCTTAGAAATCGTGCCAATTATCGACTCAAGCTCAACCCAATTTCTCAATTTCAAATCCTATTCCATAGAATTGTGGTGCTATTCGGATTTTGGAATGAAAATAAAAAGAGAAATGTAATTATATTGCTTGTTTTCTCTTTTTCCACCTTTGTTTGGAAAAATTATTGTTACACCCAGCGACGAATCCAGGATATAGTAGAGTATTGTGTCGCATTTCATTAGAAAACTAGATACCGCAAAAAATTATAATTGTTTTACAATATCAATTGTACACGTCAATCTTTTAATATAGTGAAATCATCAATAAAGGAGTCTACATACATACTAATCGCATACTACTCTTTTTCAAATAAAATAATTAACCAATCGACGAGAAATTCATCGCTCATTTTGTTGCGCAAATCATTTTTCATATGTTCCATTGTTGAAAAGGGTCTCTCCATAGTAACTGTTGAAACGGACAATGTCAACACTAGACAAATCAATCGACTAATCAATTTGTATTGTATATCCATCCCTATTTCCACCACCCACTCTAGTGATTTTTCAAGTGAACAAATCTCATATTTCTTTTAGCCTTTCACATTTTAGACTTTTAGAATTTTATGTTTCATTGTTTGTTTTTCTTTAGACGAGACTCATTTGAGCTAGAATTTCTAGACTAAATTTAGAGTTATGATTTGATTATGTTCATATTACTCATTTTCCTAATTAAACACACTTTTATTATAAAATAACACTGGGCCAAATGACTAAAATTGATAAACGCATAAGGGCTATACTAGTTCCGGATCCATAGGAGGGCTGGGCCGTGGTCACCTCTAGATCCGCCACTGGTAACACCTTAGCCAAATCCCACATTGACAAAGCACGGGAGAGATTCATGGTTCATAAGTAAGAAACCAACCTTAACTAATAAGATGCGTTTTGGGGTGAAATGGAGGAGTTCCTGTGAGAACAATAAGGATGAGTGACCTTATGGGAAGTCACATTGAATTGCACCCCAAGTCAAAAACCGTGAGGCTCGAGGCTCAAAGCGGACAATATCTTGCTTGGGAAAAGGTTTGGGATGTTACAAGTGGTATCAGAGCCTCTTTGCGTCCCTCTAGAACGATGGTGGGGCAAACCTCAATGAGGGCGTTGAGTCCCAATGGAGGGTGTATGTAACACTTTAGGCAAATCCCACATTGACAAAGCACGGGAGAGATTCATTGTTCATAAGTAAGAAACCGACCTTAACTGATAAGATGCGTTTTGGGGTGAAATGGAGGAGTTCCTGTGAGAACTCCGAAGTTAAACATGCTCAGTGTGGAGAACAACAAGAATGAGTGACCTTATGAGAAGTCACCTTGAATTGCACCCCAAGTAAAAAACCGTGAGGGCCGAGGTCGAAAGTGGATAATATCTTGCTCGGGAAAATGTTCGGGATGTTACAATTATCTTCTCTTTTTTATTCATTTCGTTTGTAAAAATCTCTCACAAGGTATCGAAATCCAAATCGGCCAAAACATAGTTGCTACAATTTAATAGCAAACCCTTGTCCAACAAGTGAACCTTGTTTCAACTATCAATTGACCTCTCTCTCATAAAAACAGTAACATTTTAGGTGTTGTTTGCTAATGGGATTTGGATGTTGTATTTGGTTTCCAAATACCAACCATCATGTTTTTTTGTCCAAAGTCATTGTTTGTTAAGGTATGCAAATTCGTAGGGTCCGCGGACCTGGACCATTTTTTTAGTTCCAAATCCGTGGACCCCACGTATTTGCAATATCACATTTCATTTGGTATTTGCATAAAACATATGGGATTTTTCCAATAATAGCACCTTTAAAAAAAATTTACAAAACTAGCGCCCATATGAAAAAAATTGACAGAAATAGCACCAATTTTTTGTAACGCACCCCTAAGGTGCGTTTTACTTATAAAACGCATCAGAGGGGTGTGTTCCGGTTTACAAAACGCACTAGGGCGGTGCGATTTAATGCTGCTGCGGAACGGTCTTCAAGACCGTTGGATGGAGGGACGATCGGGCGGCTGAACGCCTGCCAGCGGAGCGATCCGCGCCAAGGATACCAAATTGCACGCCCGAGATGCGGTCAACCCTAGGGAAGCGCAAAACGCATCGGGAGGGAGTGATCCGCGCGAGGGCAAAATTACCCTACCGCCCCTGGAGGGTGCGGTCTGATGGGTATAAATACCTCCCCTTCCCCTCTCATTTCTTCACACCACAACCCATTCTTCCTTCTCTCTCTACAATTTATCTCTCTAAACCCTCCCCCTCCCAAAAGTCTAGGAAATAGTGGTCTGTTGGTTGCGGCTAAGTCCGATCTGCCATCAGAAAACATTTCTTAGGTTTTTTCCTCAAAACCCGCCGAGCCGAAGCTCTGTCCGAATTGCGCCGAAAAAATGGCTGATTGGTGGCAAGGAGAAGGAGTTTATGTTGATGAATTTCAAGCGGAACGTACTCATTATTCTGGTTTAATTTTTGTTGTTGTTATAAGCTTTTTAATTAATCTATGTACTAACCTCGTTGTTATTTTCTCGTAGGTTGGGGAGGACGTGGATATATACAACCAACGGTATTATCTCGAGCAATGACCGTTGGATCCAACCGACTTGTACGACCAACCCAACCATCGGTCAAGGGATGTTTGGAACGCTCACCCGGTACATACAATTCTTTACCATTTGTCCTTCTTTTATTTTGTTAATGTATTTAGTGGAATATAAAATAAATTTATGTTTAATTTTTAATCGTGTTGGTTGTTTTCAATAATTTAATCGAATACATAGCGCCACTTACTTCGAATCTTTATAAAGAGATGCACGTCTAAGGAAATGGGGTTTTAAGCGATTATCATATCCTCCCATTCCCTGGGAAAATCGGGTATTAAGAGATCCTCGGATCCCCCCTTTTTCTGTCAAAAAGACTGCGTTTCTAAGAAGACGTATATCTCTTCTAAGAGTCTAACGAGTGTTGTTTTGGATTCGATTAAATTATTTAAAACAACCAACACGATTAAATTATTTACCAAACAACCCTTACGATTTATTTTGATGTGTAGAAAATGAATTTTATTAATTTGAAACATTTGAATATGTATGTTTCTCTTAAATTATTATTCATTAACAATGTTATTTATTTTAGTTAAGTTAGTATGTTTGTTTTACGATAATATGTATGTATCTCTTTAAATTATAATATGTATGTATCTCTTTAAATTATTATTAATTTAGAATGCTATTATGTTAATTATATCAAATGTCTTGTTATGATAACAAAATTTTGCTTGAAGTTAAATCATTTAATTTAATTAATTTAGTTATAAGGAATAAACCCTTACTAATATATAATAATTAACGTGTAAATTTTCCCTAGGAGGCACAAACAATAATCCGCTACAGGGGTACGACCAATGTGCTCTCATTCCACCCAGCTATCTTGCCCTTTCTCAAAAGAGCACGGTTGGACTCGATTAGACATTTTAACGGCATCAAAGTTGATCGCCAACTCATCACTGCATTAGTTGAGAGATGGAGAAAGGAGACCCATTGTTTCAACTTTAGAGAAGGAGAGGCCACCATCACGCTAAAGGATGTCGCCATCCTAACCCATCTCCCCATCGACGACAAACCGGTGTGCGTGAGTGATCATCCCCCCGAGGATTGTGACGGTATGCCGGGTTGGGTTCATTTCATCTACAGTGTTTTGGGAGTCAAAGTACCAGTGAAGGGGTGCGTTGATGCGACCGATCGCATGCCACCAATGAGGAAACACCAAGCCTCAATTACTTGGTTGACGAAGTATTTTAGAGACCATTACGAGAGTCATCCCCTAACCGAGGAAAGTCCGGAAGATGAGAAGGAGAGATATGCTCGGGTCTATCTCATTGGCATATGATCGGAGGAGTGTTCTTCTCAAAAAAATCAAGCAATCTCCTTAGTTGTGGATGGCTTAGGATCATCCTCGGTAGTTGGGAGGAGATAGGGGAGTATAGTTGGGCATCCGCTTGCCTAGCTAATATCTACCACAACTTGTGCAATGCCTCTCTAATGGCGTGCCGCACCTCCTTCTTCGAGCCAAATTGTTGGCCCTTCATAAACCCAGTGAGTGGACCCCATATTGGGACCTCTGGCGGCTCCATGTCGTTGTCGACCATCCAATTGTCGTCTGGAATGTGATTGTAGTAGGGGACTGGTACACGGTCACGAGCCCTCTCATCATCATTAGCTGAGTCTGACTCTGGTCCTGAATCATCAGCACCTTCAAGAGGGTCGGAGCTGTCTGCACTGACGTTGTTCTCTCCTTCTTCATCGGAGGGGTCACTGACTGGTGCTGGCAGGGCATCCTCCATCTGATCCAGCTCATGAAAGGCACCTTCATCAGCTCCATAATGGTAGTTGTGAAAACTACCGCTGCCTGAGTGGAAGTTGTACTGAGGTTGGTTGGGGAGGTCCGGTTGAACTTCTTCTTCATATGAAGGGAAAGATTGATGATGACCTTCACCTTGCTCTTGGTACTGAAAATATGAATGAGGATCATGGTAACTTTGGTGGGGATGATCGCCATATAATTCACCTCCACCATGGATACCAGATGTTTGACCGTGTCCAGGATGACCTCCAACGCCTACGACCAGCTCGGTGTAAACGTACATCTCGGCTTTGGAAAGATTGTTGGACCTCATGAATTCGAGCATGGCGTCTACCTCATCCTGAGTGGTTATGAGATATTCCTCATGCCACAATGACCCACTTTCTCTGTTTGGATATCGGTACACCATACGATCAACTCTTCTCGTGTCATCCATGCAAGTAACGTTAGTGCACATTTGATGGAGGTCTTCAAGCAGCGGTCTGGTAGCGACCTTTATCTTCTGAAAATTGCCACCTACGTAGGTGACCCCCTTTCCGGTCTCTTCCGTGTAACCATTCCACCGTAAGCCAAGCGTAAACTTTTGGAATGCCATCTGCTATAAAACCGTAGTTCAGTTAATATCATAAAAATCAAAAATAAAAAATAACAATAAAAAGTAATACTAAATAAACTTATGAGTTCACGTTAATCGCAAAACTACTAAAGAAATATAGAGCTACAACAGCAAATTGAAAAGGGAGAAGGAGAGGTGTGAAGAGAAGTGGTTGTCCGGGAGGCCTTTTATAGGCAAAATCACTGATGAAAACCGCACCTCTAAGGTGCGGTTTTCGTCTGCCATGCAGGCCCATGCAGACCCACGTCTGTTACGTCTGCATGGTATGTCGGAAATTGATTGACCAAAACCGCACCTTCAAGGTGCGGTTTGTATGGCAAAATCGCACCATGAGGGTGCGGTTTTGTTTGGGAAAAACAAACCGCACCTTTATGATGCGGTTTTAATAGGTCAGGCCAAAATCGCACCTCGGCCAAGCGGTTTCTGTAGGTCATACCTAAAACCGCATGGCCAAAATGCGGTTTTGGTCCAGAAATTTGGAACGCACCTCTAAGGTGTGGTCTATTAAAAAGGGTGCTATTAGTGTAAATTTTTTCGGATGGGTGCTATTTTTGTAATTTTTTTTAAAGGTACTATTTCTGGAAAAATCCCTAAAACATATTATGGAAGACAAATTTTTGAGATCCAAATACCAAATGAACATAATTCATGATAAAAATTCAACTAAACAAACAATGTTATCTTTCAAATACAAAAATACAGCAAATCCATCATAAATACAAAGGTTTTCAAAACTCAAAACCTTCATCTTCTAATCCAACAAGCAAACAAGACGAATCTCACATCGATAAAGCACGTGAGATATTCATAATTCATAAGTAAGAAAACGATCTTAACTGAGAAGACGCCTTTTGGGGTGGAATGAGGAGTTATCGTGAGAGTTTCAAAGTTAAACGCGTTCAGCGTGGAGCACCACAAAAAAGGTGGCCTTATGGCAAATCACCTTGATATGCAACCCAAATCAAAATTCATGAGAGTCATATCCCAAAGCGGACATTATCTTGTTGAGAAAAGGTTCGGGATGCTACAAGTATACTAGAGCCTCTCTGCATCTCTCTTGAACGATAGCGGAACAAACCTCAACGAGGACGTTGAATCACAAAGGGGATGTATGTAACACGTTAGTTGAATCTCATATTGATAAAGTTCCATGGTTGATAAGTAAGAAATCGGCTTTAATTGACAAGACAAATTTGGGGGTGAAATTGAGAAGTTCTTGTGAAGACTCGGAAGTTATCTTAATATGCTTTACAAATTGAAATCTGTGAGGATCGTCTCTCAAACGAACAATATCTTGTCAGAAAGGATTCGGGAAATTACAGTTTTTTTTTTTTTTTTGGTTAAGAGCTCCTTTGTATGCCTTTTCCAACGAGAAGCAGAGCACTAGCGGAATAATACATGCAGGAGGCAGGGGAAAGAACAATCATCAATCACCATTTGAGAACTTTGACTGAGAAGCAACAAAACCTGCCGGCTGCCTTTCGATTCTTTCCGTTTTCCCGGCGGAATCCCACCCTTTTTATATAGTAATCAATTTTGGCGATATCGATGGATTATCGGAGCAATCCAAGTGAGCTCTCTGTTTTCAGTCTCTATAAATACACACCATTCGATTCATATCTCCATCGCAAATCAGTTCCACAGAACATTCAAAACATTTCTCACTTCAAGAAGGAAAGAGAAATCATCATGGGTGTCCACGTTTACGCAGAGGAGAACACATCCCCTGTTGCTCCATCGAGGCTGTTCAAAGCCCTGATTGGCGACTCTGAAACCCTCATGCCCAAGCTCCTTCCTCAGGTTGTTAAGTCCATCTCGCTCCTCGAAGGTGATGGCGGGGTTGGCTCCATCAGGCTCCTCACCTTCCAAGAAGGCACGGTTTCTCTAACAAACCCTAGCTCTAGCTACATTATTGCTCTTTCTGTACCTTTATTATTTATTCATCACCATGTTCAAGCCTTATCCACTGGTACAGTTCATCTTGATAACTCGAGTTTTCGTGTCTGTGCAGAGGTGCCGAGTAAGAACGTGAAGACAAGGGTGGATGCCACGGATGCGGAAAAGTTGACTCACAAGTACACATTGCTGGAGGGAGACCTGTTGAACGAGAAGATGGAGAGCATTTCGTACGAGTTGGAGTTTGCCCCTGGACCCGACGGAGGAACCATCGGGAAGATCAAGGCCACCTACGTTACCAAGGGCGACGAGCCGCCGACTGAGGAGGATCGCAAGAAAGGGAAAGAAATCAGCTTAGCCATGTTCAAGGTTGTGGAAGGTTACCTTCAACAAAACCCAGATGCCTACGTTTGAAGAAAAACAAATGAGAGGAAAGAAAATGGTTTGGTTAAGTTTGTTTGAAAGAGTTTCGAATCTTAATGAAGAATAAGGGTTGTGGTGGGTCAGTTTTTTTCTTGCTTCTTCTTTTCAGGTTGGTTGGTCATTCTTATGAATTATAATCATTCCTCACTGTCAAAAGTGAGCAATGTATGGTTTATAGTATCCTATTATACTTGTGGTCGGTTGTACTTGTTGAGTTATACATCAAAATTCAGCTTAGTACACCTTATAATAATTTGTTATGGTCCCTGTATCGTTTTCTGTTGGCAATTCATTACTATATTATGTCTACAACTATGACTCTATTTCGTATAAAATGAAATCAATCTTCTCAATCGCATCCAACTATGTCATTTGGGAATTGATTTGATTTACATAAGCATCGAAGTACATTGATTGTCATACCTTGGACTCCCGAGCTCAACCCGTCTTCGAAGAACTAGGTTGTGAAACAACTAACCGATATTGGACGTGATCCCGTTGAACATACTGACGTACATTTGTAGTGGTCCTAGTTGCATTTCCCTCTGTGTTTCGTATTCTAAATCGTAAACCCAATCTAAAAGGACAGTGACATCTTCTGAATCTTGGGAGAGTGTGATTATGATTTTTATTTATAATATGATTTATCAATGAAATGAGAAAAAAACACCACTTCTCGGGATCCACAAATACAATCCTACAAGGAAGAGGCAAAAGGGAGGTACACATCAATAGAAAGCCGAAAAACAAGTCATTCAATGTTTAGAGCTCAACAAGGAGGAAGGACAATGGATGTAGTGCGAGCTTTCTGCCACAATTTTACAGTTGAAATGGATTTGACCAAATGACACAACTGGGAAGGGAGGGTAACAGCTCAATATCAATCATGTCAAGAATTCGTTGGTCCACCAAAGGTCACATAGTCTGATTTGTGAACCCTCGTTGGACACTTGTTCTAGACATATGAGGTCTTGAGTTCGACCCTCTCGAGCCCCTTTTGTGGTGTTCCCGGAAGCCCTAATGGGGATATTAGTGGAGGGCCCAAAGGGCTCAAGTAGGTGAATCCCCATATTTGATCCGCTCTGCCACTCCCAAGCGGTGTGTGTGGGAATGTTCTTGGGTTATAAAATAAATTAAAATAAAATAACCCGTTGGTCCCAATAATTCGTGGGATAATGTTAATTATGGATATTGTATCACTCTCTTTTATATCCTCTCTCAAACGGAAGACAACTCATGTGCTTGAAAGTGTGCACATATCCACCATGCATTGTGTTTAGATCAACAGTTAATATTTTTGGCGTCGTGGAGATTCGAGCACACAACCATTTGATCATACCAGCTCTGATATCATGGCAAGACCCAATTAATTTCAATGACTCGAGTTGTTGAGACAAGAGCATCTTATACTAATTTGTTCCTATTTTGAATAAAATTAAATCATGATACTAGCTTGATGCAATAAACACGGTATAGTTGGTTGTTTTCTCTCCTCCTCTTTCTTTGTTTGGGAAGATCCTCCTCTTTTTTGGTTCATCTTGTTCGTAAAAATCTCCCATACGGTATCAAAATCCAAATCGTCCAAAAAACATACATAGTTGCCCCAATTTAATAGCAAACCCACCAAAGCTAAAATACAAACTGAACCTTTGTTTCAAGTTGCAACTATGAATTAACCTATCGATTTGGTCCCTCTCTTATATGCCATTCTCCCACACGAAGCATAATCCTAATTCGAATAATAAAGCCAGGAGGCAGGGGATGAGAGAACGAGAATCAATCACCATGGACAGAACTCAGACTGAGTAGCAACAAAAACATTCGGACGCCTTTCGATTCCTTCCGTCTGCCCTGCGGAATCCCTACTTATATAATAATCAACTTTGGTGATTCTTTTTACAATCGGATCGAGTTGGGTAATTTCGGGTTGGAGCATTAGGTTACAGGTCGGGTTGGGTTACAGGTCGTTTCGAGTCATGAGCGTTCTCAGAAATAATATCAAACATGGTTCATATTTGTATAAAGAATACAAATCTTCACATATGCATAGCAGTAATTTACCTAACACATATGATATTTGATTATTCTTAAACTCCAAACATGTCTTTTCAAATCCTTGTGTAAATTTTTTTAAACATATCACCAATTTATGATTGATTTTATCATTTTGGGAGTGACATATGGAATAGAACGGGTCTAACGTGTCGACCCGCTAACCCACCCGACCCAACCCAAAAATTTCCAGGTTAATCAGGTTCGGATCATTCAGATTTTGGTTGCAAAATTTTTTATTTTTCGACCGGATTCGCATCTGTTTAACAAGTCGAATTGTAATCTACCCGTTCCAGAAAAAATGGTGATTTTGGTGGATTATTTGGACAATCGAAGTAAACACACTCTGTTTTCGGTCTCTTTAAATACATTGCATGTCTCCATTGCAAATGAAGTTCCAAAGAGCACTCAAAAGTTACATTTCCTCGTCGATCTTCTTCTCCTCATCCTTCATAGCCACTTGTCTTTCTCGACGAAGAAAAGAGAAATCGCCATGGGGGTCCACGTTTACACTGAGGAGAACACGTTCCCTGTTTCTCCATCGAGGCTGTTCAAAGCCCTGATCGGGGACTCTGAAACTCTCGTCCCCAAGCTCTTTCCTCAGCTTGTTAAGTCCATCTCTGTCGTCGAAGGTGATGGCGGCGTTGGCACCATCAGGCTCATCACTTTCCAACAATGCACGGTTCCTACAAGTCCCTACGTTTATACATCTCGTTAACAATTCCGTTAAAAAAAAAACATGCAAACATACAAAACTGATGAGTGGGATTGAAAGGACTAGTAGTACATTATGTAATCCGTTCGTCTCAATGACTCGAATTTTGTTTCTGGCGCAGGAGTGCCGAGTAAGAATGTGAAGACGAGGATCGATGCCTTGGATGCGGAGAAGTTCGCATACAAGTACAGGTTGTTGGAGGGAGACCTGTTGAACGAGAAGATTGAGAGCATATCGTACGAGGTGGTGTTTGTTTCTGGAGGCGCCGGAGAAACTATAAGAAAGACCAAAACAACCTATGTCATCAAGGGCGACGAGCCGCCGATGGAAGATGAGCGGAATAAAGGGAAAGTCACCGCCACAGCTATGTTGAAGGTTGTGGAAGGCTACATGCAACAAAACGTCAAAACCCATATGTGATATGTCTATGTCTAAAAAGAATGAGAAAAAGGGAGACTTTTTTTAAAAAAGAGGTTTTCCTTGCAAGTTTATTAACCAGCCACAGCTTATAAGACGTTGCTTGCATATTTAATGCTCTTTTAGGCGTCATTTCCTTTTATGGTTCCTTAATATTTATCTACTAGGCCTTGGTCTGTCATTACTCAAAATTTGTGAAATTGCTTTGAAAAAATGTTGGTTAGGTCTGGGTTCCATTTTGGCCAACTCATAAGAACTTAAGAAGCATTTTTTCTGTGAGTTTTTTATTTGTATTTGTTCTCAGTTTTCGTCCATACTACCTATCGCGTGGCGGTCGTGATATTTTATGGGTTGCTTTGGGATTTTATTGGTAGCTTCCTTTTCCAATGAGAATCCATTAATTACTTTATGCTGAACACCAACTAAAATGTATGTCACAATGCCTATAAGGGTGTGTTTGGATAGAATGATTTGAATTTGGGGGTCGTTTGCTTCATGGATTTATAAACGAGGGTTTTGTAATTTAAAAACCCAAGGATTTATCAAGGATTTGAGGCATCATGGATTTGTAACAATCCTTTGTTTGTTGGGATGTTTTTATCATGGATTTAAAGGTGTGGGATTTACTACTTGAAGTCAAAAATTACATTACTGCCCTTTTCTATATGTTTGACATGTTTATGATATGTACACAAAACAAGGACAAAACTTCAAAATTACCTTACTATCATTTTCTATATGTTTGACATGTTTATGATATGTAGACAAAACAAGGACAATACATACTAATAAGCATAATGTTGCCACATGGACAATAATAATAAACGAGAAAATTCCGTTTTAACTTTTGACGTAACATAATCAATTACCAATTCTTTGTCCTCCTTTTCAAAAGTAATATATAACAACATATATTAGAATCGGGAGAACAAAGAATTACACGTTCCATGAAAAGGTCAAAGAAAACTAGAACACAAGAAATGATATAAAAAATCTAACTCATGTGTTGCACATTAATTGAACGTTTATATTATTCATTTATTGTTAATTATAATGTATAATAGTTAAATTTGAGGGCAACCTTGGAATATTAAAAGTGCATTAGGGTATATGGGTAAAATGTCATCAAGGATTTATGCCATATTCCAAATCCCACATCAACATGTGGGATTTATAAGTCCGTGGGGTCCATGGATTTGGACCCTTAAAATCCGTGGCCCCCACGGATTTGGTCTCCAAAAAAGGTGCCAGCAAACAACGGATTGTACCTAAATCCTTGATAGTTGGTTTTTTGGTACCAAATCCTTGAAGCAAACGACCCCTTGGTATTTACGATTTGGATTTCTAAATGTCAAATCATTTGTTTGGGTATTAATTGCATTTGGTATTTGGATTTGTGTCAAATTTATGGGATGATTTCTAAATATCTCTAGTGTATTACTTCTCAACTTCAAATACATTTCAATAACTGCTGGCTTGAAATTCCTCCTAACAAAAGAGTGGACATATTTGTAAAATTTTAAAAGTTTAGGTACTATAGTATGAGGCAAAACATATAAAGGTAACAAAATGTAATTTTAACAGCAAATGTTGCGCACCTTTTTGTAAAATTTTAAAAGTCTAGGTACTAATTTGTAAGAAAAAATAAATTTGGGTACCCAAATATAATTTACCAAAATTTCTAATAAATTATCAGAAAATTCAAATAATTAAAAAAACTAAATTACAAAATAAATTACAAATAAGTATCCGAACAACGAATTTGAAATATATGTATTTTAAATGCTAGTATTTTACATACATATATTTTAAAGATATGTATTTCAAATACCTTATATTTAAAATACACGTATCCAAATGCACACTAAGGGAGCTAAGTTGCATATGATATAACGAGAAACCTCGAGCATCTTGTGTTTTAACGATGATGGATAGTTTCCAACAGGGGCGGAGTCAGGATTTCTACACCGGGTGGGCCGAAAATAATTAAATGTAAATAAAAATAAAACAATTATTTTAAAAGTATACAACGTTCTTTGAAATCATTGAAAAATCACTCAAAATAACATCTAAACTAAATGTTTTGCTACCTTTCTTTCAATATAGTCTAAAAATCATTGAAATCACTCAAAATAAAGCAAAATGTGAGGTAGTGGTGAATTGAACTTGGGAGCTCCAGACCTAAAACTAGATTAGCTACTAGTAGACTACATGACAATTGTATGAACTAATATTCTGATCGAGCCTACTTTCCAATGTTATTTTTTCAGTATGTTGGTAATCGAAGTAACGTTAATGATAAATTTTTTTAGGCCAAAAAATATTGTAAGCATGTAACATTTCTTTCAATATGGTGCAACTTCGTATAGTGGACCCAATGAATCATAGTCAATTTTCAACCTTTTCCTACATTTTTTTTTTCTTAATAGCAAAAAGAAAAGATGCCCCTGAAGTTGACAATGGTGATAGCCCTCCCAACATGTAAATAATCCCACCTCCTCCGCCTTTCACTCCCTCTTCCACCAGCTTCAGATCGGAGACAGGATGTCAACAGCAAAACTTATCATTAGAATGGAAATGACAGCAAATCTTCATAATGCCAAATGGCCGGGCAAGGTCAACGACGATTAGGGGAAGAACGAGAACTACAATTCCCATGAAAGAAAGAAAGAAAGCAGCCACCTTAAACTGCTGCTCCTGCTCTCGCCATCAAATAAAACCAGAGCTGTCACTTTTTACTTCGCCGGCCGGCCAGGTAACAACTAACAACACCTGCCACCCTGGTCAACGCTGACCCTCCTCAGAAAAGCCGCCACCCTTCCATTTTTGTATATTCTCTTCTTCTGCTGCACATGGTTGAGAAGAACAGAGAGAAAGCTGAAATTCCCCTTCTTCAATTTTGACTTCCCCATTGAAATCTATATATACATTTCCCTACCTCGGATCCATCTCAATTCCGTTGAAAAACAGATACAACCAAGAGAGAATATACCAACCAAGAAAGTAAGTCTTCTCCATCAAGAAACCCAATGACACTCTGGCTCTTTACATCCTGGGTTCTTCTTCTTCTTCTTCAGCTCTGCTTCCTGCACCACCATGCCGATGCCACTTACTCGAGCAACGAGACCGATCGGCTGGCGTTGCTCGAGTTCAAGTCCATGATTTCCGACGACCCTCTGGGCTTCCTGAGCTCGTGGAACGATTCCGCTCATTTCTGCCTTTGGGGTGGCGTGTCCTGCTCCGAACGACACGATCGAGTCGCGGTCCTCGACCTCAACTCCCGGGGTCTCTCTGGCTCGATCTCTCCGCACATCGGCAATCTCACCTTCCTGAAGCAGCTCCACCTCTACAACAACACATTCCGCAGCTCGATCCCGCCGGAAATCGGCCGCCTCCGCAGATTGCAGGTGCTGCGTCTCTCCAACAACTCCCTGAGCGGGGAGATCCCGTCCAGCATCTCGGGATGCTCTGCTCTGGCCGACCTCGATGTCGGAAAAAACAATTTGACCGGGACCATACCTCAGGAGCTCGGCCTCTTGAACGAGCTTCAATTCCTTAACGTCGAGAGGAATCTCCTGACGGGGACCATCCCTTCTTCTTTCGGCAACCTGTCGCTCATTCAGGAGATCAGGGTATCTGATAACCAGCTGAGTGGAAGAGTTCCCGAGGCTCTGGGACTGCTGAAGAACAGCCTTGAGCAACTGATGCTGCACATTAATTACTTCGATGGCGAAATCCCTCCTTCCATTTTCAATCTGTCTTTGCTTATTTATCTCACCCTGGGACACAACCAGCTCCAGGGGAACCTTCCGTGGAATCTGGGAACGTTACTTCCGAATCTCGAGTACTTTTACGTGGCTGGTAACGAGCTCACGGGTAGCCTCCCGACTTCTCTGTCCAATGCCACGAACATGGTTCAGCTACAACTGCAATTCAACAATTTTACGGGGAGTGTGCCTAGTATGGCCAGCTCTCGCAACCTTCTGCGCTTCTCCATCGGGGGAAACTCCCTTGGAGGAGGTGAAGACGGTGACGATTTGGGTTTCCTTTCCTCATTTGCTGGTGCGAGAAACTTAGAAGCCTTGGTCATCGACACCAACAATTTCGTAGGCAGCTTACCCGAGCAAATTGGCAACCTGTCATCCAGCCTCCTGCTGCTCGACTTCAGTACCAACCAAATACCAGGAAGCATCCCAGAGAGCATACGAAACCTGGTCAGCTTGCAATGGCTTTGGGGACATGAGAACAAGCTGTCAGGAACGACAGTCCTATCCACCGTCGCGAACGTGCCAAGTCTAGTGGATTTGCGCTTGTACAACAACCAAATTCCGGGTTCCATTCCTCCATCTATTGGAAACTTGGGCAGTTTAACTGTTCTGCGCTTGGCTGATAACCGTCTCGAGGGAGAAATTCCTGCTGCCATTGAGAATTGCAGGCGGTTGATAAATCTGGACTTATCAAACAACAATCTCAGTGGCGGCATTCCTCCACAGATCATGGGTCTTACTTCCTTGTCAATTGTCTTGAACTTGTCTCACAACCATTTCAATGGTGGGATCCCCGTCGAAGTGGAGAATCTGAAGAACTTGAATTCATTGGATCTATCTTATAATATGTTATCGGACAACATTCCGAGTAGCCTTGGTAAATGTGGCAGCCTGGAGTTTGTGCGATTGCAGGCCAATCTCCTCCAAGGAAGGATTCCTTCCACTTTGGATTTATTAAAAGGTATTCAACTATTCGATGTTTCGAGCAATAACTTATCCGGTCAAATTCCCAGATTCTTTGAGAACATGAATTTTCTACGGCTGTTGAATCTGTCTTATAACAAGTTTGAGGGTGAAGTTCCAGCATCGGGAGTTTTGAAAAACGCCAGCATCATCTCACTAATTGGAAATGACAAGGTTTGTGGAGGTTTGCCTGAGCTTAACCTCCCACTTTGTAGCTTCAGACGACCAAAGAAGAAGTTGAGCTACAAGTGGAAGGTTGTCATATCAACAATCTCTAGCCTTGTTTTCATGGTCATCGTTGCTTCTTGCTTGTCAGTCTTATGGATGAAAAGAAAAGGGAAACAAGCCATGGTTTCGAGTGATGGTTTCGACATGCGTGTATCTTACCAAAGCCTCCATAAAGCTACAGATGGTTTCTCCGAAGCAAATCTTCTTGGTGCAGGCAGCTTCGGTTCTGTGTACAAGGGAGTTGTTGACATGAATGGGAAAAACACCACAATAGCTATCAAGGTATTCAATCTACAGCGCCGTGGAGCTGCCAAGAGTTTCATGGCGGAATGTGAAGTCTTGAAGAACATCAGACACAGAAATCTTGTGAGAATAGTGACGGTGTGTTCTGGTGTCGATTATCAAGGGAATGATTTCAAGGCTCTCATTTATGAGTTTGTGGTTAATGGAAGCCTGGAAAACTGGTTGTATGCGACGGAAAGTGTTGATGATCCTCCAAGGAGCCTGAATTTTCGCCAGAGGCTAGATATTGTCATTCATGTAGCATCTGCACTAGATTATATTCATAACCTATGTGAAACGCCTATTGTTCATTGTGATCTTAAGCCCAGCAATGTTCTTCTCGACGAGGATATGGTAGCTCATGTTGGTGATTTTGGATTAGCGGCGTTTCTTCAACCCTCGGTTGTCAATCTCTCTTCAGATGGTACGGCATCTAGCTCCATTGGCATAAAGGGAACTGTCGGCTATGCTCCTCCAGGTATTTACTCCTCTTTGGCTATGCGAGTGATATCTTACACATTCTCATTTCGTTTAAGAACTCAAATTATAGAGATATCAAATTCCTTGCTAAGTATTATAAAAAAAATTTAGCCAAAAAAATTGGTAGCAGAATACATGTTTTTATTAGCCTGATTGATTCCCTAAGGTTATATATCATAAATTATTTCCATTATTAATATTTCCCCCAATTTGGCTAAATTGCAGAATATGGTATGGGAAATGAAATTTCGATCCAAGGTGACATGTACAGTTATGGAATTCTTGTGCTTGAGATGTTCACGGGAAGGAGGCCAACCGATGAATCATTTATAGGAGGATTGAACCTACAGAAGTTTGTCAATAATGCTTTATCAGAACAACGATCGACAATCAGAGAAGTTTTAGATCCAATTCTATTTACTGAACTATCACTTCTCCGAAACTCTGAGGAAGATGTAGTTTCCATTTTCAAAATTGGTGTTGCTTGCTCTTCAGACTCCCCGCAAGAGCGACCAAGTATCAGTGAAGTTCTAACAAAGCTAAACAAGTTATTAGCTTGATTGAACTGCTCAAACCCTAAGAGAAAGGCAATGAACCTGCAAACTCCAATCGACAACTTTGGTATTTGAGTCGTCTAGACTGTAGTAGAAAACCTGTTGCTTCATTTTAAAGAAGCTCAAACAATGCTATGGTGTAGTTTTAGTGTATTTTATGATTTGTGTTATTTGAGTTGATCCTAGACTATTCACTTTGTAAGCTAGGAATTTATGTGAGAGGTATTTGTGAAATAAAGTTGTTTTCTTCGTATATTTATATCGGAAATTGTATTAGAAAAGTACAAGAGATAGTGGAATACATGTGATTTCTGTTTTTATAGATTTGAGTTTCGAATACTTCTCCCTCCTATGTAAATGGGATTACTTCATTTGGGATATATTCAATGCCAAAATTTAACTTCATATATGATAAGTGTTAATAAAATGCAGAAATTTAACTGCATATATATCATAGGTATTAATAATAATAAAAAACAATATATCCATTTTAGTACATGCAATTATGAATTTCAACCTTCTAATTATCTCCAACCAAGTAACTTCCTAATCGCATCACCAAATACTCCCTAAGCACAATGATTTTTCTATCTTGGACTCCCAAGAAGTACGTTTTTGTGCACAACTCAATTTGGTCGCTTAATTTTAAGTGAACTCATATCTGACTGTTGAAATTAAAAGAATTATTTATTTTCTTGTTTTTTCAAATGATCAAATCCACATGTATCTTCTTCATTTTAACTCGATTATAAGGAAATTACATAGAAGAAACAGGGTTATTGGATCTACAAAACAATATTATGATTTCGATATAATTCGAGCTCAAAATTTTCCGATCACCTGTTACCACTCTCTATCACACTCTAACAGTCTTTACCTCTTTCATTTTAACTTACACTTTGAAATTTTTTGCACAGACTAAATGATTTCATTGTGGTATACAAAATTATGTCAATTCTTAATCTATTTTTGATGGAATTTTGGGACCTCTCATACCATCATTCTACGGCTACGCTATGGTATGGTATTTAACTACATTTGATAAATTTTCATATCATCATAATATAATCCGTTGTACTATATGGTATACCCTAATAAAAAAAATTCATTAATTAGCGTTTTATTTTTTATGTTTCAAAGTATATCAAAGTGAGTGACACTTTTGAAGTGTTGACCGCATACTGCGGCACTTTGTACTCCGCTCCGATTTTGACACATTGTATTACATTACATGTTATCATACCGTTTTTATATTCACACACGATTACTTAGTGGAAGTTAAGGCTCAAAGATATATACCAAAGATTCTCCCTCCATTGTAAAGCAAGACAAGAAAGAGGAATCTCCATATTGTTTAACCGATAGAAAGATTGACGTGGACCAATTACATGGTTTTGGGTGGCTTAAGTTGAACATTTCAGAGTGATTAAGAGCATCAGGACAGCACTAATCCTTGTCTAACATCTAACATAAACATATTAAGGATAATTGGCAATAGTTTAGTGACCAAATAATTTGGTATGCCCAAAAGACAATTGGCTGGTTGAGGGATGGTCCTTTCCTTTGCCTAGTCAACCTGGTCCTAGCCTAAAGAAGCCCTTTCCTCCCAAGGCCCAAGAGTACCTATCAAAAGGACAGTCGTCTTTCGAAAATATCACACATCACTTCATATCGTAGGAGTAAATTTTCGTGTCGTAAACATAGTTTGTATTGAAACCATCTTATTTCGATTCGTTCTTGAGTTCGATACACAAGACATCATCAGTCAATAAGTAAAATTTACGAGGACTTTGTGAAGACATGGGAAAACATCCAACATCAGTACTTCAGATAAAAACACCAAAGAGGTGGAAGTAAACTTGGGTCGTTAATGTTAATTACTAACTAGCATCGAAACCCATCTCATTTGGACAGGTGCTCCTCGTGAATTACTCTTATTGATAGATGTCTCGAGTATCAAACCTGAAAAACAAACCGAATTGACGTAAGACTCTTGTTAATAGGCCACGCCTTGAGGATAATCTTCATTGTCTCTGGTTACCATCTTTTGGAGGTGTTGGTTACCCATAAGGAACTCCTACTATTAGGACTAATTTGTAACCAGTAAGGAATCTAATGTAACAACAGCTATATCATGAATAATTTGAAGAGAAGGTAACTATGGCTTCCACCCTCCAATACTCCAATTCATAATCTAGTAATGAATCGATAAAGTATATGTGTATTACAACGACCCGCTTAGAAGTATCACCCAAGGGTTAAGATAGCATCAGAAAAGGTTTTCAATTCGAGTCGAAGTGACTCGCTTCGAACAAACACGGTACCGCAATTACGAGGCCGACCTGGCAACACCTCCCACTCCAATCAATGTGCACATCCACATCCAGGCAATAAGCCAAAATCGAGAGCCCTTCTAGTTCTGCAGAGAAATTCCATTTTCCATGGCTCAATATGGTCAGAGCACTCAGCAGCTAGCTAGAAGACTTCACAACGTCCATACAAAGACACCACAACTTTCTATCGAAAACACTTTCCAACCCATGAAATGGCCATCTTTCTGGTTCTTTCTCCTTCCCTCTCCTTTGACAATGACCCTCCCAAAGGGCACAAGCCTTCATCTCTCTCCCAACCACTCCATTTCTATCTTCCATTACCTTTCTTTCCCTCCCTAAGTAAAAGGAAGGATGGAAGAGATTCCTTACATGTCCCACACCCTTTTCCCTCCACTTATATTCCCATCTCTCACCTTAGATTCTCATTCTCATTTCATCCCTCTCCTTCTCTCCCATCTCTTCCTCTCTCTCTCTCTCTCTCTCTCTCTCTCTCTCTCAACCCAAATGGCTCGAGAGTTAGAGGTACAGTAATAACACCATCTCCTCTTAATTCCATTCCTGACTAACAAACATCCGCCATCTCTGTTTCATACTAACCCTGTTTCCTGAATCCTCTGTTTTCTGCAGAGGCCTAGAGTCACAGAGATACAAGTCCGGATGGACTGCAATGGCTGCGTTCAGAAGATCAAGAAGGCGCTTCATGGCGTCAATGGTATGTATGTAAACGAATCCCTTCATTTGAACTCTTCTCAATTTCATCTACAAGCCGCTGCATTGTGATTTTGCTTCATCAATAATGGCTGTGATGCACAGGGATTCACGATCTCTAAATCGACGTTCCTCAGCAGAAGTTGAGGATCGTCGGATGGGCCGATCCTCAGAAGATCGTGAAAGCCATCAGGAAGACGAGGAAGACGGCCATCATATGCTCCCATTCAGAAGAATCTCCCCCCGACCCACCTGAACAACCACCGGACGGCGGCGAATCACCGCCGGACGAATCAAACCCTCCTCCTCCGGAAGGCCCACCGGAACAATCACCGCCTCCACAAACTGAGCCACCCACGGAACCATCGCCACCGCCCCCGCCGGAGAATCCACAACCGGAGGAGAACAACCCATCACCAACACCACCACAACCACCAGAAACAGAGCCAAACTCATCAAGCCAGCAGCCGCCACCGGCGGGTTCTAATCCGCCGGGGCAGCAGAAAGATGTAGGAGAGGTTCACGTCATCTACCACCACCCGCCCTCAGACTACCGCTACAATCCACCGCCGGACTACGGCTACAGATATGGCTACGGTGGTGGTTCACCTGCTAGTTCTAGTTCAAATTCCGGTTATCATCAACCCTGGGACAGATACCACGACGGTCCAGGGTTTCCACCCGTCGTCATCACCAGGCCGCCACCTTCTCACCATCCTCCGCCACCGCCACCGCCACCGGTGTACGTTGCTCATCACAACTACAATACGTACAGGCCAGCACCGTACGTGACGGAGTACGAATACGTCCGATCGACGCAGCTCCCGCCACCACCACCGCAGCCAAGGTACATGCCTATGCCTCCACCGCCACCGCAACCATCAAGGTACGCACGCTACGGCAGAATGGACTACTACGACGACGAGTACCATGACGGTAATCACCACGGGAACGGAAACATCTCGTCCATGTTCAGCGACGAGAACCCAAATTCATGCACAGTAATGTAAACACGATTAAACAAAAAGGAACGGCGATATGAAGATGTGCAAGTTATTTTATCTTTCTGGAAAAGAGGGAAAAGAATGAGATTCCATACTTGTATAAGTGATGGGGAAAGAATCGAATCGATTCTGCGTTCCACTTCCGACTCCAAGGGACCTAAAATCCCTAGAAATGGTTGGAGGGAATTTTTGTTGCTATTATACTATCCTACACGTTTCTCCAGCCTCCTATAGTTAGTAAATACTCCATTTAATACACATATATGTATCCGTACGTACTTTATCCGTTTAAAACTTCTGTATTCGTATTATTGTCAAGCCGTTTCTTTTTTGACCGTTCATTTGATGGCTCCAATATTAAACACGTTTAAAACCCGTATAACATGTTTAATATCCGTATTTAATGAATCAAATTACGAACTTTACCATTATTTATATATTTTTAAAATTTTAAAAATAATAAATTTTATATATTTATGACAATTAACGTACTATTAAACGTAACATTAGCATAGAAACGAAGTAAAATACCCGTACGTATTTTATACGTAACTTTCCCGTACCGTATTTTACTAACTATAGTCCCTAACTTAGAAAACAAGTAGTAAAGATGTAACCTTTTACCAAAATAATGGCTTCCCAATCATGTAGAACGGGGATAAGTTTTAGCTCAAGGTAGCCGTTAGTAAAAGTCAGAATCATTTTGGCGCCTTTACACACACTACTCTCTCTAGAAAAGGAACACGAGCAAAGTCAAGGTAAATAGTACAAAAACCTGCTCCGTCGGGAAAGCAGAAGAGTATGGCGGAGGGTCGTTGCCGGAACCGAAACCAATCCCGAGCTGGCCGTGTGTTTGTTTCCAAAGGGTAGCAGGCAGGCAGAGCTCAGGTCGAAAACTGTTACCTGAATCGACTAGGGCGGGCAATATATGGAATGATAGATCACCCATTCATTCACCACCATCATTGATCCATTGCTTGATGAACAGTCAGTCAATGGGTTGATAAGCTCCTACTTTTCATCATCACTGCTTAAATCCGATTCATCGTCTTCCTGGCCATATATACGCTCATCAACATCCTCGTCATCGTCATCATCTTCATCTTCCACTTGGTCGTCCGGTGATGCAACATGGTTATTCTTCAGGGAGTCCTTGTCGAACTTCAAAGAAAAAGAATATCGAACATAAGCACAATATCGTCATGCATATGAAATAAGAAAAGATAATAAATGTAACTACATGGCAGACCTGTGCTGTCACAAGCTGCAATCGGCCTGATAACTGCAATAAAGGTTGCACAGCAACCTCTCTGGATTTGGTAGTCTGGAGAAGGGGATCAAGGGTAATATTTGTCATCAAAATCAAACTGTAAGTTAATATCCGTCAAATGCACTGGCCGTTAGTTACCTTCAGCAAGGTGCTAAGCAATTGGGTTTTCTCAGATTTTTCTTGAGCCACAATGTAATGACCATGAATGACCAATATCCAGGATATCCATGCCAGCACTGACTTTCCACTATGTGATCTACGGAAGAAAATAACCAACATGAGTTTGAGGCATAACTAGGTCATAAATGCTTTTATGAATGAATCACAGATCTTGTATGATATTCTGTTACAATAGTGGCCTAACTATGATCATGTTCAGGTATTTGGTACCTAAGAGTTAAATCATTTCATGAAGATCGTCAGTATTTAAATAGAGAAGCAGCGAAGAGAGCTAACCTGGACTGCCATATGGACACCAAGGTCTCCAGTAATTTGTAAGCATTGCTTGGTTCCATAGACAAAACGGAAGCCCTGATCTGGCAAAGGAAAGAAGATAGAACCAGTGAGAAAGGCTAAAGGAGCGAGTTTGAAAAACTGGTAACAGAAAATAAGAGAGAAACGGTGTTTATTCTATCTAGAAGACGAACCTTCTTTTGGGGGAAGTTATCTTCGAGCTGGATTCCCTTAGAAGTTAGAGACTCTATTACAGGTTTGATGATGTCACCATCGTTCGGTAGTATTCTCAATTGTCTCAATCGTGTCTCCATGCTAGTTGTTGGAGTCTCAACATCTACCATGTCATCTGCATAAGCAAAAGGTTTGAGCAGGTGAAAAGGAAAATGTAGCAATTCTGATGCTTCCATTTGCACGTAGTGAATAGTGATGCATTGACATGTTTCCTGACAAGATATAGAGAACTCAAACCATATAGCTATTGCTTGCCTTCCTATGACTATAAACTACTGCATTTAACAATATGGTGGACAGTAACCAACATACCTTTAAACTCTAAAGACTCCGCTTGGCTTCGGCTGTCCAAATCAACATGAACATCTGATACTTTTGGCACAGGAAGAAGTGCATCCTCCACATTTGCACGGTCCAAAGCAGTTACTGTTGATAATCACAAAAGTATCCAGACGAATGTTATAAGCCATTGGAATAAGTATTACCTTCATGATTCAGGATTCGAATAAGAAGAATTGTCAATCTTTACCTCGATCCATCCCTTTCTTAGATTTGATGGACTGGCTAGCGGGAAAGAGAACTCCATCCTGAAAACTACTTAACTCGACATCATTGCCAGCTTCAACTAATACTTTCTGAAATGAAGGCTTCACCAGCAGACCATAGGCAAGATACACATTTGCAGATGTAGGTTTGGGGATGACTTGTAATTGTGCTGCAAATATTGCAGGCAGTGCACCCCTGTGCTTTTTATCATCATAGGATAGTGAGACCTTTGTGGGCTTGGCAGTCCGTAGTTCCTCAACATTCTGCCCACACCATGTGTAACAAATGCCAGTCTCTGAGATTGCCAAAACATAAAGCCCATCATTGTCATCCGCTTCGCCTTTCTCAAAACACTTAGCATGTAGGTAAACTGCAGGATGCTCCATTGCAAAAACACAGACCGACTGTTTTTTGCCACTGCCAGTTCTCCAGAGTGCAACATATCTTTCACCACTAGCAGAGAGAATGTATTTTCCATCATCAGTAAAAATCATACACCGCACAGATCCCTGGAACAAAGTATTGTGACTGAATGAGTGAGATGAAGAGAAAAATTTGATTCAACACCCACAAATCTAGCATTTGAAGAAGTTGAAATATAAATAGAAAACAGATCAGAAAAAAGAAACTCACTGGATGACCAGAAAATTTCTGTATCTTCCTGTGATCAGAGCAATTGAAAGTTTTCAACTGCGAAGCAGCAGTTGCCAGTATCTTCCCATCTGATCAGATAGGTAAAAATAGAATAAAGGTCAAACTTTCCAGAAAACCAGTACGGTATGTTCCATCAACAAACAAAAGAACAGCAAATACCAAATGCTTAAATCATGAATTGACCAAAAAACTGAGTTCATTCCAGATTCAAGCAGGATAACAAGGGCAGGAAAACTACAAGCCAGAATGTGTTTATACATAAGTACCAATACTACCATAGCACCTACCTGGAGAAACACACATAGAGGATATTGCTTTGCTTGAAGCTTTGAACTTTCCTAACAGATTTCCAGTTTGTGGATCAATCTTGCAAACCATTCCATCAGCGCCTGCAGTGTAAACGCTTGATTCGCTAGCAGAAAATGAAATTGAAGTTGCACCCCTGCAGCATTTGAGAAGACAATAAGGACCCAAACTAATCCTTCATGAATCCTCAAAGATCCTAGAATCGACATTAATTTCATTTCCTTATTCATAAAGTTCCAACGGCATAAAAACAAAACATAACACACGAGAGCTCACCCGGGATGGCAGTCGCTAACTATCCATTTGGGTTGACCAGCAGCCACATCAAGCGCCAAGACATCCCCGCTGCCAGTTCCTAAAACTAACAACGAACTCCCTAGCTTCCTTTTCTTCTGAAATTCAAAGGAAATTCAATCAATCAAGAACCCGGAAACGAAGCCAAATATTCCATCAAAATTCTTTAACATCACCAACCTTTCTGTCTAGGGTGATCCATTTCATGCACGTATAATCTACCGAGAGGTGCCCTCTCTCCGCCTTGGAGAGCAGACTGACATCAGTCGAAGCTATGTCTGCAAACTCCGTTTGCACCTGGCCCTTGAGAGTGTCCCAAATCTTGAACAAACGGATAAAATCAGAAACGGCAGCTAAACAAGCTCAAGAATAAGCATCCGAAAGTGTATCTCTACAAAGAAATATTTCAAACCTTCACTCGTCCGTCGCCGGAGCTGATAGCGAAGTAATCCAACGAAGGACTGAACGCCGTCAGCAGGTCCCTAATATTGGTCGACACCATTTTCTCCTTGCTTCTCTCTCAGAAATACTACAAATGAAAGAAACCAAGCTTTATTCAACGAGGATTCTCAAAAAAAAAAAAACCCGGAGAAGAGGAGCCACAGCTCTCGCTTGACGAGTGCTCCAGTTAGGAAGAAAGAAGCGCTAACGGCTAACCTGAGAGGATGAGACGGAGGAAGAGATTAACGGCGTCGCGGCGGCGATTGCTTAGTGGAGTGGCGGCAACGGAGCAGGGAAGCGGGAGGATTGGCGCTAGGAAGAAAGGCCTTCTGTTCAGGGTTTTAGGGCGATTTTACAGTTGGGGGGTTGAAGCCTGAAGGCATTCATCGGTTGTTTTTTTTTTTTTTTCTTTTCAAATTTAGTTGGTATTCGTTTCATTGGGCTGGGCTGGGCTGGGCTGGATTGAGTCTCATTGAACAGTTTGGGTCTAAACGGTCTATCTCCACAAATATTATTGTGGACTGAGAGCTACCGAATTCGGCGTTTGGGTTTTTACGCTAAGTTTTCATATTGGGCCGAGCCAACCCCGGCCCGATCCAGTCACAACAAAACAAAAAAATTAAACCCCTTTCTTTTTAAGTAATTGTTTTATTTTAGATATTATCAATATTGACCCCAATAAACCAACGAATATATAAAAATGGGACTAGTATGGCAAAATAAAATGGTCTAGTGTATGTGTTGATTCTTTTACCAACCACACGATACTACAACTACAAGAAGGGAGTAAGAATAAATAATATAAAAATGCTTTATATAGCATCTCGAAAACATCACAAACAGCGTATTGATGAGGAGGATATTAGTTATTTCAATCGGCAATTAAAATTAACAGCTATTGATGATACGAGATATCTATACTTGGTTGTAAAGAATGAAATTAAAGTTTTCGTTTTAATTAAACGATTTACAAATAGTATATGACATTGAAAGTTAAAACTCGATCAGTATTTCAATACTCGCCTTACACAAAGTGCGGGTTTAATATTGCCGCCACTATGATGTGTAGAGAGGGGGAAAGAATCAAATGAAGTAGGAAGACATCAAACAAATGGGGATCAAAAGATGACTTATTCTCCACATATTTGATACTCCCAATAATCATGACAACAAAATCCGCCCATTGTATTCATCAACTCCTCTCTCCAGTCTCCAATTTTGTCAAAAAAAAAAAACTCCTCTCTCCAATCCTTTTTTTGTTGCATTTGCATGTTAAACCATGACCTTCCTAAACCCTTTGTTTGTTGACATATGCAACACAAAATTTCTGCAAGACTTCTTTTTTTTTTTTTTTTTTTCCTTTCATTTTTGCTTTACAGTGAAGTCTTTTTTTTCTTCTTCCATTCCAATCGGCCAACCCTTTTCTTCTTTTCATTGAAAGCTCAGTCACATGGGGGGAAGACAGAGCAGCAAAAAAATCCCCACAGCCACAATCTTATATTAATATTTGGGCTTATCTTCCTCTCCCATCCCATCACTTCACCACAACTTCAACTGCAACAACACACAAACAACAAGGCAGTCAAAGAGAGAAAGAATACCGTTTTATGAGGCAGGGAGCAACGCTGTAAGGGCATTGGATCCCTCAAGCTGGCAACACAAAGACACATTCCACTACTGCCTGCAGCCGCTCAAACCAACCCTCACTCACTTCTAGAGTCATGAGTCATGACACACAAACTAGAGAAGCTTAACTCGGGCTAGGATGTTTACGAGACGTTCGAGGAAACGTGCTCATACTGTTTCGTGGTCGGGGGATCGTCCGCCCTCTGAGCAGTGATAGCATAATTGAAGAGAAGAGGTTGTTGCCATTTGGTTTGTTTTGATCATCTACGACGGCGGCGTATTGGTCATTATTATTGATGGTTATGCACTATCTGATTAGGAATCGGACAATAAAATTAAATGGGATCGTAACGGTGCTTCAATTTACGCATTATTCTGTACGACCATAGCAACAAAGACATCTGGAATTGACAATTAGCATAAATGATATAATTGTATAAGATATTATCTAAAATGGAGAAAGATGCTATTCATGAATGTGGTTTTCATCCAATCCAGTAGTTGAGAGTGGAACCATTGCCACAATCAAGCAATGAACTTATAGCACAAAAACCCAAATGGCTCTTTTTTCCCCTTCTCTTTGGTCTCTTCCAAAGTCTGTGGAATGAAATCACTGCCAAAAATTTCCTTCTTACACCATGAATGAAGAATTGGGGAAGCTGTACACAAATCAAATCATCATCTGCAGAGACTCCAAACATGAACAAAAAAAGAAAAGAAAAGAGAAAAAGACACCATTGGAGAGGAAAATCCCTCCAAAGAAACAAATCAAATTGCTCTCCTCTATGGTCTTATTGAAAAAGAATCTGCCCTAGACTTTATAATTCAACACTCCCAAATTTCTTTTTTCCCCTTCTTGTTTTTGTTTTCTGTTCTTTTCCCATCATCATTTACCCACAAACAAAATGGTATATATATATCATATCACATCATCATAAACTGAATGATCTCCCATAAGACTGTTTCATCACGTCATAACACGACGAAGAACTCTTCTCTGAATCCGCCAGTTCCTGACACGGTTCAGGAGATACAATCTCCGAAAACCCATCAACACCCGAGCAAACCCACGAATCCCCTGAAGCCAAAGTCACATTCAATAGACAGATCGAACCGAGCTCAACCCCTTCCGCTCCGGTGAAATTCCCGGCCAGACCGACCTTCGACCCGACCACATCCCTGAACGTGATCTCTCGGACGAGGGGAACCGCTCCACGGTCGAACCCCTGGTCCGGATGTTCGCCCATGTCGCCCCTGGCGACCAACCCGACCTCGACACCTGTCATCTCGACGCCCGAGAAGAACACCCGCTCGATGTATCCGCCCCTGCCACGCGTCGTCCTCAGCTCGATCCCGCCCCGAGAATCGTGCAATCGGATGTCGTCCCCCTGCACGTCGGAGATCCCGCCGGACATCTCGCTCCCCAGGGCGATGCAGGCGCCGGCGGACGACTTGAGGGTCACGTCACGGACGTGGACGTGCATCGTCGGCCGGCCGTAGTTGATGCCGTACTCGTCCCACCCGCTCTTCAGAGCTATGGCGTCGTGCCCTGTCTCGATGCTGCTGTCCTCTATGCATATGTTGTTGGATGAATCTGAAAATTGAAAAGAATTTTTCCGCTTCAGTTTGTCTGCAATTGTTCGGAAAGATTGATGAATTAGGAGAAATCCTAACCTGGAACTATGCCGACTGTGCCAGGAGATTCGGGTGGAGTTGAGATTGAGATGTTCTGAACAAGAACGTTGCTGCATTTGAAAAGTGAAACAAACTTGAGCACCAAAAAATCCTACATTCAATAGAAACCACAAAAGAAAACAGAGGATGAAGCTGTAGCAGTACTGACCTGCAATAGACGGGGTGAATGCTGTAAGCAGGGGCATTGAGGAAAGTGAGATTTGAGACGACGATGTCCTCGCACTGAACCAACTCAACGAGATGAGGCCGGCTGTAGTTCAACGAATGCGCGTTGTACCAATCCCACCACACCTTGCCCTGGCCGTCGATCGATCCTTCGTCCCCTGAAAACAACGAATCGAAAAACCGAGATCAATTATAAGTGCTCTGGTAGTTTCAATGGCTGTGATGATGGTGAAGAATTTACCAGTTATCACCACGTCCTGCAACTTGTACCCATTGATCAAGCTCCTGTATCTTGCTCCAGGAAGCTCAATCCCTCGGCCGTAGGATGGCAATGGCTCAACAACATCCCAATGCGATGGATCCTAAAGGGAGGCAGAAATTGCAGGAAGGTGTCACAGTCAGTCCAGATTTCAGGGGGGAGAAATGGGTGAAAGGGTTTGTCAAAGAAAGTGACTCCCAATCAGAAGAAGAGATAAAAAAAAAAAAACATATGATGGTTCCACCAAATGAACAACCACAATGTATTGATTGTTAAAACAAGTCAATTCATAATTCGAATAACACGTAAGACGTTGTAACTTTAGCGATCAAATAAAAATTCAACAGTTGCATTGTCGAATCGGATAAAACTATCTTGTATGATTGTTAATCAATATCATTGTCATATGCTGAAAAGTTACAAGTTCGAGCACTATTGGTTGGTGAATAAACACGAAATATTGACCGTTAACCACGTAAATTTGTCTGTTTGATCGATAATTTTGTATGTCACATCTAAAGCTAATGACACGTCATTATTTTAAGAAGAAAAAGGACAGAGAACATGTCATAGAGTTCCAGCTACCCACCAGCACACAATATTCTAACGGATTACTGAACTACTAAATCCTGTCTCCAGCTATGATCATTCATTTTTTCCTCTGTTTGATTGCTGTCAGAGGTCACATACTATCAATCTCACCGAACCAATCAAATTCGGGGGGAAAACGAACCTGCGATCCGAGGATGGTTGCGCCCTTGGCGAGGAACAGAGTGAGGTGGCTAGTGAGATTGAAGCTGCCGGTGAGCCATTTCCCCTTGGGCACATAAAGCTGGGCGCCGCCCTTATCGGTGAACGACTTGAGGTAGAAAATGGCGTTCTGGAAAGCGATTGTGTTCAACGTTTTCCCGTCGGCGACGGCGCCGAACTCCAAGATCGAGACGCTGTGCGGCCTGGGCTCGAGGCTCGGCTTGTGATCGCACTGCCCATCGCTGCTGCTCCTTCCTGGTTCTCCGGCCGCCGTCGTTTGGATTCCACAGCTCAGTGCCAGCAGCAGGAGCAATGCTACCTGGAATTAAAAACACAGACAGAATCGAAATTCAGACTTTTGAAAACAGGGGATTCTTGAGAATACAGAACCGAACCCATCCCACCATTGATGAGATACAAGCAGAATGAACGAAACCCATTTTCAATTTTGGGATTTTGATACCAGGGCAGATGGTCAAGATATGGAGAGTCGGGAAAAAATGGAAGTTGGAAGATACTCTGTTTCCTGAATCGAGCAAAATAGAAAAGGGGGGAAACCCAAAGACGGAAAAGGAAAGCGGGGAAGGGGAGGAAAACAGAGTAATTGAAATCATTGAAAAGGGGGAAATAACAACCTAAATGGGAAGGAAGGTCGGTCGTTAAGACATGGAAATATGGAATCCAATGGGTTGGGGAGGAAGAGAAAAAAAAAAAAAACAGAAAAGCGAAAACACTGTTTTTACAACAAGCTGAATTGCTGTAGTGGTAGAGTAAAACTGCAGAAATGGAACCGAAAAAACATAGCGGTGAGCTGAATAGGAAGAAGGAGAGGAAAAGAAACCTAATACAAATCTGGGGAAGAACGTACTTACTGGCATCTTCATGGAGTCAAATCTCCTGGTGAGAACAGTGGACTGGTAAACGGGAAAACTCAAGAGCGAGATGGAGGGGGGGAAGGAGTAGAAGAACAGAGGAGAACGTGGAGGTGGCGGTGGCGGTGGCAGAGTTCGTCGAGGACAGCTGAAAGAGAAAACACCAGAAACGAAGAGAGAGAAGGGAAGGAAGAAGAAAACGAAAGGAGAGAGAGAGAGAGAGGGCAAAAAACAGGGGAAGGAGGGGACAGCAGCTTTCTTCTGTAAGCATGGTCTACTGATTAAAAAGCATTAATTATATATATAAATGACAGAGGAGGAAGAAGAAGAAGAAGAAGAAGGAAAGGTGGAAGAGAGAAAAGTAATATTAATAGTATTTCCATTTCCCAACTTTTTGCTATTATTAAATTACTATGCATGTTAATTACCATGTTCAATTTTTTTTGTATTTTTTATCGTAGTTATCCGCTATATGAATCGATCGTTTCATTTTGTATAAACATATCGATTAATTTGCAGGTTGTAACCAATTACAGATCGTAAGCAGTACGGTTGCTCTACTGGTATTTTTTTATCGTAGTTATCCACTATCTTAACCGATGAAAGAGCATTTTGTACAAACAGATTGATTAGTTTGCATGTTGTAGCCAATTACAAATCGTAAGTCTTCTGAAAACATATCGATTAGTGTTTTCACTTTTTATATCGTCTTCCTTCAATTACACATTGTTAGACAAGACAAAGATTTTAATTTGAAGAATAAACACCTCATTACCGAAACTAAGTTACACGTAAGATACAGTACGAAACCGAACGAGAGCTAACTTGAGATTGCAAGTGAAAATGCACTACTAGTTAGTTGGGAGTTAGAGATTTGTAATTAGAGTAATACTAATGTGACTGATAATTACCGTTTTCACTCTTTCTTACGTAGTTTCTTTGCATTTGATACATGGACATTTTTTAATAATTATAATTATATTTGAACGCTTAACATTACCTACTTGAATCAATGTTTGCCTCATAGATATTTGTTATCGCACTATACCATGTCATAGTCTCAGACACAATAGTCACTTCATGAATATACAGTATACTACGTATTTTATCGAACCATTTACATCACACGAAACACGATTAGTTAAATCGTGATTTCTAGGCAAAAATGGGCGGGTATGGTTGGCATTCCCATTTTTTTCTACTAATGGCAATGTCAATCATAATAATAATGCCACCAGAAAATTAATAATACATGTAGGGTAAGTAATTAAGAGAGATGACAATCGTGTTGTTGAGTATGACAAATTGAGGAGAGGAGGAACATGGGACTGTAATAATAAATAATATTCCCCTCTCACCCACTAATAATGGGTAATTAGTAAATTAATTGCCCTCTCTCCTTATATGATTAATGATTAACGCTAACGTCTGTTTTGCCGACAATTTTGTTCGAAACGCCTCCCTTCTAATTCTCCTTCATTATTATGCTTAAAATTAAATAAAAGACGACAAAAAGAGGCAAAAATAAAAACTATAAAAATAAGGGGAAATTCCAGGCCTGTACTGTATTACATTATAATTCTCAGATTCGACCACAAAATGTCAAAATTTTGGTTTTCACTTTTGGCGCTTTTGCTCTTTCCTATGTTTTCTTCGCCGCAAGCTTGTTTACACCTGTTAACTTCTGATTTGCAAAACGAGAACCAATCTAGACATTCTCAAAAACAACATATACACTTATACCCTATCTATGACCAAAAAATAAAAAATATATTACAATTTTATATTATTGGGTTTATGTTAACTTCTGATCTTAGAGGTTGTTTGCAGAGATCCATTCAACCGAAATACTTATACAAATAATAATAAGAAGGCATCATCGAGTCTGAATATCGATTGACGATTATGCATATATTTACGAAAAAGATATGGTTTATTATTCTCGAGCTTGAAGTTACTGAGTTAGTATTCAATGAAGAGCTACACACTATTTTAAGAAATACATTCCACCATCACGACTACTCGTACTCGTGACCGAAATTGTTTACATTGGCATATCAATGGACAACATGGCTCATATTGTAGGAGAAATGGTCGTCGTTGAATGTCGAGGAATGGTAGTATAAGGAATCGATTACATCTATAGGTCTGATCACTTAGAATATTGTATAATTTATATAGCAGTATGTCACTCATTACAACACATATACAAGTATTGGCTAGTGTGTCCGTATTGAGTTCTCTTATTTAGACAATGAATTCATCGGAGTTTGAGACATTATATTGTATCTTAACCTTAATCGGTAAAGATAAATTCAACCAAATACATTCCACCATCACGACTACTCGTACTCGTGACCGAAATTGTTTACATTGGCATATCAATGGACAACATGGCTCATATTGTAGGAGAAATGGTCGTCGTTGAATGTCGAGGAATGGTAGTATAAGGAATCGATTTCATCTATAGGTCTGATCACTTAGAATATTGTATAATTTATATAGCAGTATGTCACTCATTACAACACATATACAAGTATTGGCTAGTGTGTCCGTATTGAGTTCTCTTATTTAGACAATGAATTCATCGGAGTTTGAGACATTATATTGTACCTTAACCTTAATCGGTAAAGATAAATTCAACCAAAACACAATAATTAGCAATTTTAATTCGTGAATGTATATCAAAGTACACCTAATAGGTACAAGCACATATGTATATTATACGTTATATGTATGCTAGTGTTTATCATATACATACATATATATAATCTTCGATGCACACACTTTTTTGAGCGCATGTTATGCACCTGTCTGGCGGTTCATGTCAGAACGATGTCAAGATGGACAAGAAACTACATGAATTAGTGCAAAAACATTCGAGATTTACTTTGACTTGAAGAATTTAGGATTAGGCTGAGTCCAATGGGTACCCCATTTATGGGGGGATCTTCAAAAATGAAGGAGGAGATGGTCCAATGGGGAGGTTTGGGCCTCCAAAAATAGAGGATTCTGCATATGGAACCCCAAATTTGGAGGTGGAAATGGGGGATCCCCCAAATATAGAGGCTCACCAAAGCCCGCCACGTGGCTTTTCTTTTTCTTTTTAAGATTTTAGGGGTTAATTGAGAGTTTAATTAGGGGATTAGTTAGGGATTTAATTATATCAATCATTTTCAAGTGCTGTGTGTAAACCCAAATTAGGTACATAATTTTTTGTCAAAAAATTTCGGACTCGAAATTTAACAAAATTCTGTCGAAAATTTTGTATTAAAAAATAATGACGAACTATACAAAAATTAACATGAATAAATTATATTAAGGCTACAATAAGTACATTTTTAAGTAAATGGAAAAACTGGAAATATTAAGAACTTCAAATATGGAGTTTGTTGCATTGGAGCAAAAGAAGGGAAAATGTGGTTCAATCCCCAAATTTGGGGTTCAAGGCCCCAAATTTGGGGTTTTGCATTAGACTTGGCCTTAGAGCTTACAATTTGGGTTTTATTATAAGGGTTAAAATTGAAAATCGAGGATAACCCATTGATTAATTGTAATCGTATATCTTATCATAATATCAAACTAATACTTCCTATTAGAATTCAATATTTTATGTTTAATAGTAACTTTTAAGTTTGATACATAATATACTTATTTTTGTGAGTATACAGTGAAAACCTTATATATAATCGAAGGAAAATAAAATTGAGAGAGAGGGAGGTTGGATGGAAGAGCATTTGAGAGACAGCATGTGGAGTGACAGGGAAGTGAGAGAGAGAGAGAGAAGTGGGACCCACTCTTCAATCATGGCAAAGATGCTAGCCTGGCTTCAGTCACTTGACAGAACATAACACTACAAAAATCCCCACCCTCCCTCTCCACAAAAAAAAAAAAAAAAACACCCTTTATATCCCTTAATTATTTACAAATAACAGGTTTAGTTTACAAAATGGGGGTTGGTAATGGCTAATGAGATACAAAATTGTAAATCAACTTCCGAGTTTGTTTGTTATGTCAACATTGAACTTAATATGAACTTGGATGAGCAAGAGTTTGAATTGTGCTCGTCAGTTAAATTGTAATTATTATTTTGAAGTTGAATGTGTGAGATAGTAAAAACGTAGTTTTTTTTGGTACCGTATTGAAAATAGATGATGATGACGATGATAATGATGATTAGGTGGATCATGGTGTATCGGTGGGCTTGTTTTGAAATCAACAAATAAAATATGACGAAGTGTGCATACGATATTAGCGATGTAATGGACTAGAGATTGGTCTAGTAAGTTGTAATTGGAGGATGACTATTTTCTATCAAACCCTAAATTCAAACACCAAACTCAAACAATCATCTAAAAAATATTTATATTGGATACTCATTTTGGCACCAATTTTAAACATAAAAATTATATAGATATCGAGATTACAGCTCATGAATATGAATTATCATTATCAATTTCTAATCACACTTAATATAGTAGTCCTTAGCTAAACGCCGAGTTTAACCTAATCTAAATCGAATTACGCCCAAAAGGAAAGGAAATATGTACATTATCTGTACTGTACAGTGTGCACATATGATCATATTCAGATAAGTTTATCCTAATCATCAATCTTATCTCCATAATTATTTCCAGATGAGGGAACCGTTTCACTCTTTTGTTTCCTTTCACCCTAAATGCATGGAAACTTATCCCATCAAAAACATTGTACGGGAACTTGTAGGAATTTAACTTGAATGGATTGAAAGATACCACAAATTATAATATCAACAACTAAGGTGGTCGAGTGGGTGGTTACTCCCTTGTTTAATATCGGTTCACATGCAAATAATCTGAATTGCAATGGGTGAGTGATTAATATGGGTGGATTGTGCAATTTAGGTTATAATTAGGTTTGTCGAATTGGTTTAGTTGGTTAACAAAATCATTAAGCATGGAAAATAAAGACCAAGTTAGACAAGTTTCTAAATACCAAAACCAAAACGTTGATTTATCTGTTATTGGTTAATCAAAAACAAATAAGGCCCTTAAAAGTTTTGGTTTTGTATGGATAAACCGAAACCAAAACCCATAGTTTGAAAAGTCCACAAAATCGAGTAAGAAAAACTAACAAGACGCATGCAGATAGTAAAGAAGTTGACTACACATAAGTTGACGACAATACGTGTTATTGATGTGTATTAATTTAGTTAGGGTGTTATATAAGTTTTTTATTGGTCTTTCGGGTTTCAACATAAACCAAAACCATTAAGATGCTAAATTATTTAAAATCAAAATCGTTAAACTTTGTATAAATTTGGTTTGGATCAAAACGGAAAAACCAAAACCAACCCTGAATTCCTGGGTATAATCATCACCAACAAGAAATTATTGGAATAGGTTATGGTGGCTACCAAAATCGATACCCTTTATTAATTCTATTTTATCCTATTTTCAAATTAACGGTTAAGATTAGATTAAGGGCCGTTTTGGAAATGAAATATATAACACACTCGATTATTATCTGTTAAAAATGAATTTTTATATATTATACCCATATCGACGACGATGGGAAATGGAGTTGCAGTAGGTTTTGAGTTGTTTGTTCAAAACTATGAAATTGTTACGAGATGCATATAATGTCTGAACTATTTAACTACATATTACTTTCTAGTTTCTATCTCTCACAGTTCATACCACTATTTATTCAAGCAAATACACCAGCCAAGTAGTATGATCAACATGGTGCCGATGTGAAGGATCCTTGACGCTTCCCCAATGGCGGATGTTCGATGGTTTCCTCGTCGGCATAATTATCGTGCAGATTGGGTTGTTTGTTCCCTTTGTAGTATGATCAACATAGTGAGCTCAAGAAAACTTTGTAAACCTAAACGACTGTTGTACAGTTGTAGCGGTTAGTAGTAGTATTGTGGATGCATTGATCTAATTTGATGTTACTGATTGGTTAACCCTCTCTTCTTGAATGTAAGAAATAATCATCCTCGTTCACACTCATCCAAATTTGACCTAATCAGGTAAGGTAAAACTCGCGCGACTTTGATAGATTTTTAACGAATATGAGTAAAATGGAATCTGAATATTGCGGATAATGGGTGGAAATGGTTTTCTTACTAAACGTGAACATTCTCGATTATACACATGTGTCTATGTATTTTTTTTTTTTTTACAAAATGATCATTATCTTTCTCAATGTATTTTTCATTTATCATACATATATAATATTTTAATTAAATGATATTTTTAATTAATTGTCTTTGTTCTAGTAATTTATTGTTGTATGTTTTCACTTATGTAATGTCATTATACGTGTAACTGCTAACATGTTGGTTGAAGTTTAAAAGATAAATTATTATCCATGAATGATCGTAGGTACCGATCCGAAACTCGATTGGATATGAGTATGACTTTGATATTCAACTTGATTCTTATATGGGTATAGATAAATACCCGAACTTTTACGGATAGGGTAATGGATATACAATATTTGTGTCAAAGGCAATTCGTTGTCATCCCCGATCTCCGTCTCTCTTTTCATCCCTCACTGAATAGTGACCTAAATTATATAGAAGTATGTTAAATTAGAGGGGATTTTTTTCTTTTCTTGTCTTTTGCGTCTGTATCATGTCTTTCTGTTTCTCAAATTTATTATAGAGCTGGCTGTTTAATGACAAAGAAAAAACTCTTTTCACCAGAAGTTTGATTGCATACAAACTATAGCGTATAATTGCTGTGATGTGTTGGGGCTCTCTTTGTTTTACGTTTTGATCTTAGCATATCTTATTCTTATATAGAAGAGTTATATATAGTAGTGCTAAAAATATAAGTCAATTATCAGCAACTGCACAAAACATGCATGTCCCAAAAGACCATCGAAGCAAGCTATTGCATTTTGACCTTATGCTGAATTGACAGATAAGTAACGGCCGATTCGTTGTGACATTTTTGATAAGGAGATCGCTTCCATTTGCATCATTATTAGGTGAGCTGTGATTATTTGGCAGCCTGTAATAACAGTAAATGTACATACAATACAAGCTAAATTGGATTGTACTGCACAAACCCTAAACTTTGCAACTATCTAGCTGGAATACTAACAAAAACCATAATATACAACTAGCTTTTTACCTATATTGTGTTATTGATTCATAACAGATTTTGTAGTATGTCTATATTGAAAATTTACAATATTTACCACACTCACTTGTGATGCTTCGGTTTTCTAATCATAAATTATGTCGTTGTCACGTCCCATCTCTAAAAGTAGCCTGAAGACATCAAATTTTGGATTTTAATTGGTAACATTAGTATGATATGATGATATAACATATGGTCACAACTAATCAATCCATTACCCTAACCCCTAAACCTTCAATTTTGAACACAAACCCAAAATCCCAAATTATAAACCCTAACCCTAAATCCCTAAATCCTTCAAATTAAAGACAATCTTGAATGTGTTTTTTGCAAATTCATGTGTTTCTTGTTCTTAATACCATAAACGACGATTGATACCATTTTGACATGAATCACATGCTCGGAATGACGATTATGAGGCGAATGCATTGAATGCACCAAAAAAAAGTGGGTGCACCGAATACACCACCACATACTCGTGCATTCACACTACCATACAACCATTGAGTTTTACTATTTAAACCTCGAATTAACCTGAGTTTTTTGGGGCATGATACTATACCCTAACCTCTAATATGTGAACTCTAATCCCTAATTCTCTAACCTCTAATTTATGCACATACTTCGTCATACCTATCTTCTATCGTATCTTGCAGAAAATCAAAATTATAGTATACCTTGATATTATATATATATATATATATATATGGTGGCTACTTCGGTGCACTCACTTTTTGGGTGCATTCAGTGCACCCACCTCTAAAAGTGGTCATAATACATCAAATTTTGAAATTTAATGGGTAGCATTAGTCTCATATGATGATATAACACAGAATCACAACTAATCAACCCATTACCCTAACCTATTAACATTCAATTTTGAATATAAACCCAAAATCCCAAATTGTAAACCCTGATCCAAACCCAAAATTCCTAAACCCTAAATCATTCAAATTAAAGTGAATCTTGAATGATTTTTGTACAAATTCATGTGGTTCTTGTTCATCATACTACAAGGGATGATTGACATCGTTTTCACATGAATCGTCTGCTCAGAATGACGATTATGAGGCGGGTGCATTGAATGCACCCAAAAAAGTGAGTGCACCGAAGACATAACCATATATATATGTGTGTGTGTGTGTGCATACCTTGATATGGTTTTATTCTGTTCGTCGTAGCGGAGGTTATGTTCTTTTTTGCTATTTTTGGGCTTCTTTTCATTCTTCTTTGGCACCTATGGTTGTGATCAGAGGCATTTAGCACCCTAAAGGGATTGAGATTTTAGGTCCTTTGAAAATCCAATACACATTCATGATCCTCGAGTTTGGACGAACTCTCGATCAATGTTGTAAAGATTAGCGAGAAGTTGAGATTATTTGATAATTATGTTTATCCCAATTGACTATCTTACTAAAAACTGTCAACCTTTATTTGGTAAATGTCTAGGTTAGTAGTTGATAAAACGTTATGTTTATCGTAGATTCTCAACAAAGATTTCTCTAACCTTCACATATGTTTTATTTTTCAAGGAATCTTGTGTCTTAGCCTAGGGTTTGAAGTCAAAGTTCGTCAACAATCATACTTAAGTCATTTTGAACATTTTGATTTATAATTGTCGACGATAGCTCTAAGTCTGAAAGAAAATTTCTTAGCATACGACTTAGGACCTCAATAGAGCTTGCTCAGTCAACCTAATATAGAGCAAATATTATTAATGTAAACATAGGACACATTATAAAATTATTGCACATGTGATTCCTCTTCATTTGAGTAGTTTAGGGTAGAACATGATCTAAATGAATAAGAAGTATTTTTTAAATAAATAACTGTAACTACTCGATTAAGATTATACTCTAACATTTTAGCTCAATAATACTTGTTTTATTTTATAGACAAATACTTTACGAATAAAAGAGTGTTTCATTGCAACAAAATATAAAGTAATATAGTTTATTTTTCAAAGGTAATTGAATTGAATGTCCAATATTTATTTTCTCTTTTTTCGTATATATTTTGTTTAATCGATAAAAACATTATTTGTTTAATTTTATGTTTGTTTAATTTTTCATCAAAATGTAACTTATCATTCAACTTTAGTAAAAATGAGTAGAAAATTTACTTCATAAGGTTTAATCATATACTTTTTATTTAAACAAATGTAATATATGTCACTCTCTGTTTTCTTATTTATATTTTTTTTACTTGAATTTTTGTTTATTATTTATGTGTGTTTGGTTAAGTTTATCAACATGTAACTTATCATTAAAGCCAAAAAGAATAAATAGATAAATGAAAAAGAATAATTGGATAAAAGTGATGAAAATATTAAAGAAGAGAGGTAGCTACATGATAACTAATTTTTTTGATAACAATTAACTTGAAAAATCTAAGTTTAGGTTCGGGATATTGACACATGATCGGCATCACGATACATATGGACAACTTTTTTCTCCCTCTCATCAAAACTAAAGAAGAAGAAAAATTGTTATGAGGGCGCCGATGCATTCCACAGAGTTACCCCAAGCACGCACAAATCGTTTAAGTCAAACCCGTACATTTTCTAGCTCTACTCAAGGGTTTAACTGCACCAATTGATGGAGGTGGGAAATCGAATACACAATCTCTCTTGTGCTAGACCAACCGGCACACCAGTTGTGCGGAGACAAACATTAATTCATATAGAAGGGGTAAAATAACATTCAAATGGATTTTGTGTCTGTTGGGTGTATGGCTCGGGTCCAGTCGCGCCAAGGAGCCATCGCGGCACCGTCCCAGATGGGCCAGACGTGTTAGTGCCAACGCGACCAAAACCGCACCCGCACGAGAATCTCGAGCGCGGGGAAGCCTACAATCGCGGACAAGAATCCCAGACGCCGAACGGCGACGTTTCAACCAAGCGTTGACTAGACCAAGAAACCATGAAAAAGACACCGTATCCCCCGAGGAGTAGTCACATCATGGTTCTAGGTACAATCATGGGTAAATTTCCTAGTCCTAGGTAGAGGTATGGCCTAAAGTTCTGACATGTCAGTAATC